TTGGATCCCACATATGAGGGCCAGTGACACTGCCCTCTACAGCTAAGATGCTGAACAACAGCTTGACCTGGAGCTGGGCTGCCGTGAGTCGCCGGCATGGCATAGGCTGCAGTGGGGCTGGCCGGGAGCAGGCGTGAGCTTTCGTGAGCCGCCGTGAGCGGCCGTCCGATGGCCGGCGAGCGATTGCCTCACGCAGGAAGAGCGCAATGACAATAACAACAGGGGCCAGTGAAGTGACGTCCTCCACAGCTAGACTGAAGAACAAAAAGACAGCAACTTGTCTGTTCTCCTCCCCCAATTCCCAATAAAATATTAAAAAAAAAAAGAAGTCCCTACTACACTAGTTGCGCCTACAAATTTCCCTGCTAAGAAAAGAACACCAGATGGAAGGGTGGGCTGAGATTGTGCATCCTCTGTGGGCCACATGCCCCACACGGCTCGGGGGGTACAGTGGTACAGTAACCTCGTTTAACCTGACTTGTGCAAGAGGAGAAGCTCGTGTAACTGAAAAGCTTAGGTGCTCAGCTTCAGGTGTGGCTCGATCCAGGTGCGTCCCCAGTGCTATTTTCCTGGGTCAGCCTGGCTCTCTCCAACATGGCTTCATTCCCAGGCAGCCTCTCCCCAGCAGTGGCTACATTCCACCGGCTCGGGTTCCCCTGGATTGCCCTCTTTTGTATGTGAGTGTCCAGTCGTCTGGCACCACCTGCTGAAAGCATTGTACTTTCCCCACTGAATCTTCTTGGTGCCCTCGTTGAAATTTCTCGACAACCAATACTTATTGTGCAGATTTTTGTAAACTTTAAAGTCTTCCTTTAAGAAAAAAAGCCTGAGATGCACTTGTGAAACGTGGGTCTACGCTACCTTCTTTGGGCCAGGTGACCTGGGGGGCGGGGCAGTGAAATCCCAGGATGGAAGCCTGGGCCGCCCACAGCTTTGCTCTCACTCCCAGACTGGTTTTGACCACACACAGATGAAGAATGTGGGGTCCCTGAAATGAAAACTCCCAGGGTCGGTCCCACCCCAGAGGGCCCCACCCTCCGACCTGTCCCAGGCCTTCCTGCTGCTGTAGGTCTGCCCTTTCTTTCACACCAGGCCCAGTTCCAGTAAGCCTCTGCCCACTGCCCTCCCCTGCGCCCCAGAAACCTATTCTGTCCCCTCCACCCTCTGCACCCTGACCTGCAGGGGTCCCCAGCCAGGCCCGTTCTTGCCAAACCAGATGGGGCACTTTTTGCCCTAAGTCCTGGTCCAGGAAGGAATTGCATAATCGGGGCCGGGCTGGGAGAGGGCTGGTGAAATGCCAACTTCCGCCGCCCTGGGTGAGTGTGCACAGAGGTAAGATGACTCCAGAGCCCAACCAAAGCCGCTTTAAAGAGCGAGGACGTGGCCCGAGTGGCTGGTTTCTGGAACTGGCTGCCTTTTTATCTCGCCTGTGGCCCTCATTCACCCTCACCCTCCTGTGTCACCACACATGCCCGGCGGGGTTTCCCACCGGGGCTTCAGGCTGCATGTGGGCAGAACTGTGAGAAAGGGTCTGCGTTTGCCTGCTCTGGCAGGAGGGGTCTTCGGACACATGCCAGGCCTGCTGCAGCCTCCTGGTTTCCCCGCAGGCCCCACCCACAACCAGAGCCCCACGCCCGCTCGGGATTCCTGGAGTCTGGCTTCATTCTTTGTGCATTGCCAGCCAACGGCTGATTCAAACCTGGCCAGACTCTGAGGTTCCGGACGCCACACTCGTCCACACTCCACACCGAGCATTGTCGCCTAGACAGGAGACAGGAGTCCAAAGCTATGTGCTGGTTTTGGAAATCTGAGGATGGAGTAAGGGACCCAATCTGGCAGGAGAGGCAACAGGACCAAGGGCCTGGCTGATCCTGTGAAGGGCAGAGAGGGGGCGCTGGTGATGGAGATGCGAGGCCGTCCGAATCGAGCTGCTCCGATTCCAGCAAAACCACTGTTAACGACACGCAGTGGCAATCCGGGAAACTTGAGGACAGTAAAAGTGGACTGTCATGTTTTTTACATATAATGAATGACTACTGCAGTTTTAATTTTTCAAAGGCTATTTTTAGAGACACGTGCTGAAGTATTTACCTATAAATGACACGACGTCTGGGGTTTGCTTCTAAGTAACCCAGTGTGTGTGTGGAGGGTCTGGAGTGTGAGGGTGCCAGCTGCCGGCAGCCGGGGCGTGCTCTCCACTGAAACTGCAGTGGGCATGGGGGTGAGGCCGGTTGTTTTTAAGTGATTTCATTAAGATATCGTGGCTTTTAATATATTCACAGGGCCGTGCGGTCACCACCACCATCTAAAATCCTTTTTTTTTATACACTTGAATACTCCTTGCTCCAGGACTGCGGTGTCAGGGGTCCTGACGTCTGAACTGGCTGCTGGCAGACCATCTGTCCTGCACGTCCCCTGGCTGGGGCAGCTCCCATCCATCCTGGGACGTCAGGCCTCAGGTCGATACCCACACCAGCTCCCGCCCAGCCTGCCTGCCTGTCTGAGGGTACGCAGTCCAGGGAGCCAGGGTCTCCCCAGCCTCTCCTGAGCTTGCTGGACAATCGGTCAGCACACAAGATTCTGACTCACGGGGCACCTCCCACGCCAGGAAAGGGGAGCCCCTAGGGCTTGCTGGGAAGGGGTGATCCTGTGGGGTCTGTGGTGACCCGGATCTGGGAACTCAACACTGACCAGGCCCCTCAACTTGCATGCCCTTCCCGACTCCCCGCACTGGTTTCGGGCTGCTGCCGCCCCAGTACCCCCAATTCCTCTGCCCACAGGCCACTTCCGTGTATCTAGTCAGGGCTGTGGCTTCTTCCCCCCTCTGGGCCCTGCCCCCCCATAAACCAGAGAGCCTTCCATGGAGGGTGCAGAGCGGGTCTTCGTTGCCCCGACAGCAAGGCAGTCGCAGCCCAGTGAGCGGCCGGGAGGCAGGGACCAGACTCAAAGCGGCTTCCTGTCCTTTATTAGTGTCCCCGCAGCCTGACCCCTTGCTGGGGTGGGGACACCATCCCAAAGGGGCCTAGGGAAGCAGATGGACAGTCCCCAACCTCGTTTTTGGGGGCACAGGCTGCTTTGGCAGGACCTGGGCGGTGCTGTTTTGGCTGATCAGCTGTTGGGGCCTTACGGGTGACCACCGTCCAGAGCGAGCGGCCTGGAGGACCCACCACAGCCCGCCTCTGCCCAGGGAGCGGAGGGGAGGGCGCAGAAGGCATGAGGGACACGGCACACTCTCTGAGGACAGTGGCGGCCTCTTGGCTCTGAGTTTTTGGTGAAACTAAGTGTTAAAGCAACTGGGGGTTGGCTGGTGCGGAAGGGGTGCTCAGAGCCTCCCTGCCTCCTTCGTTTACCGGCCCAGGAGCTGTGGGGGCACAGCCACCTTTGAGAATGTCAGAAAAGCCATGGTCCCTCTCCTAGGATAGAGTGTACGTGCATGCACGCACTTGGTGGGCAATGCTGGTGCGTCCCCTACTCTGCCACCCAGGTCCTTGATGGGAGCTGCTGGAAGACAGTGCTGTAGGCCCCTGGCAGCTGCTCAGTGAGAGGAAACCCTGGGGGCCAGAGAAGAGGCAGGGGACCCCAGAAAGCTCCTCCTGCCTCCAGTGTTAACTGCCTACTTGGGCAGGAAACCCAAACGTGGGGCCTGGACGCCTCCCCTCTGAGTGAGTAGTCAATGCACAGGGCTGGGCAGCCAGGACACCAGGCAGGGAGAGCTCGGGGGCACGTAGGAGGCAGGGGTGCTGGGGGCACGGTCTCTGGAAGGAGCTCCGACCAGGCAGGAGGCGGCTGGAGACCTGTGAGCAGGTGCTGGGTTTAGGGCTGCGCTCGGCTCGCACGGACTCTGGAAGAACATGGTGCTGGGGACCGGGCATGGGCCAGCCGGCTCCCACAGCCCCGTCAGGATGGCACTTTGATGCCAAAGTGTTTGCGAAGTTGTTCCAGAAACACGAATGTGAGCACGGTGTGGGGCATGAGGCGGATGCCAGCAGGCAAGAGGCCCTGGATGGGGAAAGCAGCAACGGAAAGTGAAAAGTGCCAGGGAGAGACCCCAGCCCCTGCCACCCCGGCCCTCACCCCGCCCCTGCCTCCCCAGCCCGCCCCAGCCCCACTGCCCCCATCCCCTAACCTTGTAAAAGGCCAGCGGCCCCAGCTTTGCAGTCTCCATGGCACAGTGGATAACACCCTGCAGAACATGAAAAATAAAGCAATAAAAAGAAAAGCTGCTTCTCACTCAAAAGGCACCAATTAAACACCCCTCCCAGCACTGGCCAGTGGCCCCGCATGCCAACATGTGAGTGTGACCTGGATGACCATGCTGAGCGTGGCCTGGAACGTTCAAAGGTAAACCCAGGAGAACATGTGAGCCAAAAGGTCAGAGCCGCCTGCTTGCTGACCGCCTGACAGCTGACGAGGCAAAACCAGAACCCCCGAAGGCGCACCCTGCAGCAGGCTGCCCCCCCAGGCGCCCACGGTGTGTGGGTGGCTATTGACAGCGTGGCCAGCCCTACGGCCCGAGAAAGAGCTAAGACACCGCGCACCGTGGGAGCCCCAGGCGGGCATTTCTGTGACCCCGCTGCGAACGTGTCGAAGAATCTGACGGAAAAGCACCAACAGAGCCAAGGGCTGCTTGGAGGCAGCTGGAGACGGCAGCCAGGAGGACGTGGTCACGGGCCGAGGGAGAACAGCTGTCGCTCACATCCCAGGACAAGGACACGGGTTCACCCGGCCACGGAGCCTGGCAGCAGCAAGGGGGGGCCCCCACCAGGTCCCTCACGCAGCCCCAGACCCAAGTTCTCCAGGGAGCTGGCGCCTCGGGGCCCCACTGACCTGATACTCGCCCCTGGAGTTCATCAGGCGTGTCTTCAGCACATCCAAGGGCTGGCACAGGACCGTGGCACATCCACCCTGGGGGTGGGGGTGGGGGTGGAGGCATCACCAACGGGCCTGTCAGGCAGGGTGCAAGGGATCCCTCAACTCCCCACAGGCCTGCCCCAAAGAGCCCCTGGCCTTGACCCCCAGGAGGCATCCCAAGGGCTGCAGGACTGGAAACAAGGACGAGGAACCACCCGAGCCTGGGCACCAGCTGACCCGTGAGCTCTCCCGGCCCTGGCACCCACTTATGCAGTCTAAGAAGGATCTCCCCCAGACTCGGCTAGCACCTCCTGCCTTCTGAGCCCTGGCCCTGTCAGGGGTCCTCAGGTCCCAAGGCTGGTCGGTCAGGGCCCCCACCCAAGCCATGCCATGCCGGCACTCACCGCGATAAAGCTGGCCACGAAGTGTGTGAAGATGCTGTCAGACAGATACCCTGTGCTGAGGACCAGCTGCTTGGCCTGGTCGTAGCAGGATAGCTGTGGGGGTGGCAGGGATGGTCAGGGCCTGAGGGATGGCCCCCAGCTCCAGGGAAAGCAGACGGCAGCCCATAATGACACTACCCAGATCGATCAAGCACCTGCTCTGCAGTTACCTACACGGTCACTGTACCTGCGTGGGTAGGTGAGGCCCAGACAGGGAGGGGCCTGCCCGAGGTCATACACCTGACCTGCCTGTGCCCACCTCCCCAGTGCCCATCTGGGACCCGTGGCCACTGCCTTCCTCTCAGAGGGCTGGGGCAGGGCCCCCAGATGCTCCCCTAAGAGGCCCACCCCCAGCAGAAGCCCTACCTGGCCCACGGTGACTAACATCCCTCGACTGGATGCCATGGTTGCACCCGAGAATAGCTTCTTCGGACCCTCTGCCGGAGAAAAGGGGGGGGAGGCGGTCGTCCAAATCCTTCAGGCCTCCCCCCAGGCCCTGCCCACCTCTGCCTCCTCGGTCCCTCTCCTAGGTCCTGGCTGAAGGCTGCCCCAGGCCCCTGCCATGCAAAGGGCCTGCTCCTCTCACCTTCTCGGGCCACACGGTACAGGCCGTCCAGGGCATGGGCGTAGCTGCCAGGGGACACAGAATGGGCCCTCATGAGGTCCTGCCTGACCACCGGCTCCCTTGGGAGGGTCCTCCCTGGGAAGAGCCACGCTCTCATCACAGCCCATAAGACTCTCAAAGGCACATCGCAGAGGCCAAGGGACAAGGGCCTCTTCCGACAGCTGAGTGGTCTCCCCACCCAGGGACCTCAGCACCTGAAGCTCCACTGAGTTCCACAAGGAAACCCCTGGGCACCGAGGGCTTTAGGGAGCTGCCAGCTCTGACGCTGGTGCTGTCTGCGGGCTGATACCGCGGGCGGGAGGCTGGGACACGCTGCCTGGCCCCTTCCCACCGCGCTCACTCAGTCGGCCTTCCCATGGCTTACACCCCGGCCAGACAATGGACAATGGGCTGGCGTGCAGCCATGTTTCACCTGAACTGACGCTGACACCTGTATTTGAAGTGCGGTGTCCATCCGTAAACCGTCTTAAAATTGACAATGTCTTGCACTTCATGAAAAATAGCATTTTTATCATAAAAAATCCCAGCTTTGAAAAGCCCAAACTCACTGAAGCTCCTAGAGCGTCCCCCATGGGAACGTGTGCATGGTGCAGGCAGAGGGAGAGGAAAGCGACCGGCCCTGGGCCTTGCCGTCCACCCCAATCCCAGATGCCTTCACAAGGAGACTCAGAGGTGCCAGGGTCCCCTTACGACTCAAGGACAGACACGCATGGCAGTTGCCCCACAGGTGAGGCGGCCCCTTGGAGTCCCAGCTGGGTCCCAGCACAACTGCTGGGGCCTCCCTGGCCTGGGCCCGCACCCACCAGCCACACCCCAGGGCGGAACTTGGCTCTGCAACTTACTTTCGGCGTTGGCTCTCAGGTAGCTTCATGTCGTTCTGCATCCTGAAACAACCACATGCGCTCAGGCGGGCAGCGGGGGCCAGACACACGTCCACAGGCCCCAGCAGCACCCCCACCCAATGCCTAGTATTGCAAGGTCTGAGTGACTTGTCTAGGCGGAGCCCTGGCCCTGTCTGGGGACACAGGAAAGACCCTGACCTTGGGGGGACTGCACTGACCTGACGTTGACCATGTCTGCAGGAGTGCCCACGAAACCTCCAATGCAACCTGGGGCGACAGGCCCGGGAGCCAGCATGTGACCACCGGCAGTGCCCCCGCAGCCCCACCTAAGCACACCCCACTTGCCCTCCCGCCCCGCGGCCCCCTGCCACCCAGCTGCTCACCACTGATGGAGCCCAGCAGCACCTTCTTGTAGAAGGGTAGGGGCCCTTGGCTGCCCTGGGCCACCTGATCCCGCACAGTTTCGTAGATGGCAAACCGAGTCAGGGAGTAGGTCATCTGAGGAGAAGGGGCCCAGCTCAAAGGGTGCACGTGGAGGGAGGGTGCTAGGCATGACCCGCACCCTTTGGCCCTCCCCACCCCTGACATCCAGGTGCATGGTCACTTGGGAACCATGGGGACTCAGAGGAACCCTCCAAAGGCCACATGGCCACCAAGTGGCTGAGCCAATTTGCAAACCTGGGGCCGGCCGAGTCCAGAGCCCTGCACCCTCCCCTTTTCCTCGCCAGGCCTGTTTCTCCATCTGTAAGTGGAGGTCTTGGGCCAGCTGTGAGAGCAGGGCTGACCCCACGGAAGGTGGAAGGCAGCATACCCCACATCGCCATGCCCGGTGCCCACCCAGGGTCGCCAGCCCCCTGGGTCCCGGCTGCCTTAAAAAGGAGCAAGTTACTTTGATGCCCATGGGGTGCCCCCAGCCGGTAGGAGGGTGGCTTGGGGGACGCCAGCTGTCCCTTCCGCATGCTTGGGCTGCTCAGAGTGTAGGCTCTGGGATCAGGACCTACAGGAGCCCCTGATGGTGGGGGGTGCCCCGGGAGGTGTAGGGGCCCTGAAGCACCTGTCTGCACAGGGAGGCACTCAGGCCGTTGTAGAGTGCCAGGACGCCGTCGGACCGCACCACCCGCAGCGCCATGCCCACCATGCGCAGCTTCACCTCCTGTTGGGTCTGCAGGTGCACCTGCGGGGGAGGGGTCCAGCTGCTCAGGGTGGCCACCCTCCCGGCCCTATTGCCTGCTCTGCTCTGAACCCTCTTCCACAGCCTACCCCCTTCACCCCCAATGAGGACCCCCACAGGGCCAGGCGCTAGTGCACCCCCACTTAGAGATGGGAAGTCAAGGCACGGGAAGGCAGAGAGGTCTCCTGAGGGCACCCAGGTGGGGGGTGAGCTGGGACGCCACGCCACACCACACCTGGCACCAACCTCTGTTCCACACTATTGTTTTACGAGTGACAATGCCCAGCGATTCACGGCCAGGCCTGTGAGAAACACTCCACACACATCTCCAAATCCTCGAGGCACCTGCTGTGGGTGGGGGTCTTCAGCCCCATTTTACAGATGAGGACACTGAGGCAGGATGCCAGTAGGGTGACTCCATACCCACTTCTCAGGAGGGACAAAGTTATGGGGACTCAGAGAGGGCCTGAAGAAACAGGAGGCTGGAGGAGGCAGGTGGGATTCACCAGGGAGAAGGGGAAAGGCCACTGCCGACGGTCACCACCTGGCTGGGCCTGCTGAGGCGGGTTACTGATCCATGCCTCAGTTTCTCTCTGCGTGCTGTGAGGCTAAGGGGCTCAGTGGGTGACCCCCTCCAGTCTCTGCCTAGGGGCGCCGGGCGGTGGGGCGGCAGAGGTGGGTGCCCAGCTTGATACCACAAAGGCTGTCTTCCTGCTCCGTGAGCCAAGCTGGGCAGGACGGTGGGCATCGGGCCCAGGGACAGGGCGACCACAAGGGCAGCAGCTCCCGCCCAAGCGAGTAGAGATGGTGAGGGCCCAGCCAGGACATGAGGCAAAGAAAGACCAAGGAGTTTTAAAATAATTTTTCCAATGACTATGCTGAGAAGTGGAAACCACAGCCAGGGCCTCCCTCCAAGGCGGCCTCCCTCCAAGGCAACCTCCGCATCCAGGATGGGGCCACGTGCTCCCCAGGCTAGACCTCCCCTGACACATCCTGGCAAGTTCTGCAGCAAAACAGCACCTGGGGGCGGGACAAAGGGCAGTGACGCCCAAAGGGGCCTTGGACAATGAACAAGTGACAAGGGCAGCGCCAGCTGAGGAGGGCTCCCAGGGATCCTGAAGGCTGTGCCCACTCCTGGTCAGAGACAGTGACCTGACCCTCCAGGGCCCTACGGTAGCGGGTGGGCAGCGTGTGGGCCTGTGTGGGCCTCTGGAAAGCTAATAAAACAGACACTAGGAGTTGTTCCCCAAACAGAAAAGCGCCTTCCTGTTCACTGTCACGCCCTTTCTCTGCTGGTCAGAGCACCCTCCAGGCCTGGCCTTGCTCTGCCAGGCCACCTCTCAGGTCCTGGGGGCTACTCCCAGGACGAGTCAGGTTTCAGGCACGCCAATGGGGCTACCAGCTTCAGCTCCCCATCCGCTAATCCAACCTTTACTGGTAGCATTTTTATTATTAATTAGAGAAGCAACTGCCTCTGTTTAGCAGAAAGGCTGCTGAAAGAAACTCGCCCTCAGGCACAGGGTGCCTGGCTGGGTTCCAGGTCAGCCCAGGCCACAGGAGCCAATCCCTCCCAGGGGACCCGTGTGGGTGCAGACAGCTCTGGGTGGGGGTAAGGAAGGGGTGGCCAGGTGGCTGCCCCTTGCCCACAGGCCCCACGTGACACACAGCAAGCTCTCTGGGGTGGGGCCCCCGGGCAGACTATGGTTTGTCTCTGGCCTTTTCTTCTTTGTTCTTTGTGGTGACACAGGGGCAGAAAACAACCCCCTTGGCTGGCCCTGGAGACAAGGGGAGCTCTGTCTTATTCTGCCCCATAAGCACTTTAAAAATACATAAAAAGAGTGTGAATGCTTCTTGCTCTGAGAAACACTCACCCTCATCGGGCAGGTCCTGCATGCCTGCAGGGCCTGTGGCTTCCAGATGCCCACTCGGTGCAGGGGGGAACGGCACAAAGCAGGGCCTGTGTCACCCCACTCCTCCAGGCCACATCCCTCATTCCCTCTCCCTCGTGTGTGCCAGGACCCCACTAGGCAGGGGGGCCGCTCGGTTGATGCCCTGGGTGTGCTAGAGCCCAGGCACCCCTTAGAACCACCCCTCAACTGTAACCAGGCAGAACAAGTGTCCTCAGAGGTGCCAGGGGGCACTGGCTCAGTGAGGCCAAGTGACTAGCCCAAGGTCACACAAGCGGGGCTAGCAACCACCGGCAGCGGGCTGAGACGCGGGGCACCGGAGCTGCTCTAGCCCCGGGTCAGGAGAGCCTCGGGGACCTCCTCCCCTCCTCCCACCTCTTGCGGGGAAGGGTCAGGCTGGTCAGTGCCCACGGGCGTGGGTGGCCTGGGTGGGAGCGGGGCCCGGCTCCTAACCTCCGCCCGCCCGCCCAGCCCGCGCCGCCCTCACCTTGAGCAGATCCAACGGATGCGTGCAGCAGGCGGCCCCGCAGGAGGCCAGCCCCCCAAAGTACCAACGCGACACGCGCGCCTCGGCCTCCATGGCCGGACGCAGACGCCGGGGAGCGTCGGCTGCTCGTCCCGATCCAGCCCCGGACGTAGATCCGGATCCCGACCTCAGCGCGCGCCGCAACCCCCGCGCCGGGTTCAAAAAGCAGTCCGCCACCCGCGTCCCGCGCACCGAGGCGGCCGCGCGGCCCGGGGGCGTGGCTAGACCCGGGGTTCGGCTGGCGCCGGGGGCGTGTCCAGGGAGACCCCGCCCCGGGACCGAGGGGCGGGCCTCGCTCCTTAAAGCGGCCCCGGCCCCGCAGCCGAGCCGGGTGGGTCCCACCGCCAGCCTTCGCCGGCCTCGCGGACCCCAGAGAGCCTGCTGCGTGGGGCTCTCCCACTGGCCCTAAATATCTGGCGTCCCTTCTTCACCCTGAGCTGACCCTCCCCCAGGACCACACCACACCCAGGGCATGTCGCCGAAGGTCACGGCCGAGGACTGGCTTCGGGGCTCTGCCAGCCCCTCGCCTCCCGGAGGCCGGCCTCCGCAAACACCCCGCCTAGCCGCGGATCTGAACCTGCACCCAGTGCCCACCCCCCCACGCAGGCCCCGGGGTCCGCCCTGTACACGTGCAACTGCAAGAGATAGTAGAAACCCTCTTTGGGGCCAGACTGCGGCTTGTTGGAAAACTAGGGGCAAAAGGCGATTCGGAGACCAGTCGCCCTTGCCCCACCACCACCCTTATCCGGCACTCCCAGCCAAGTCCAATCCCAGGCAGCCACCCTGGAGGAGGCCCAGGAGGCAGAGTTCTGGGCCTCAGCGTCCTGGGCTTGGGCTCCCGGAGGTGGCCATCAGCAGGCTGCCTGCCACTGCCTGGCCCCAGCAGGAGGCTCCCACCTGCATGCCGACTCCCACCCTCATCCCACCTCCCAGCAAAAAACAGGAAGTGCAGGTGGGCTCCTAACTGGAAGGTGCATCGGCTTGGCAGCGTGAAGTCCATGTTTCCAGGGCCACTTTTCAGCAGGGCCACGGAGATCCAGGGGTTCTCTGCAGGGGCAGCCTACAATCTCAGAGGGGGTAGAGCCATATCTCTTCCCTAGGGAAGGACCTAGGTCCCAGCCTGGCCACTGCAGCCACCACCCCAAGGGAGAAGGGGGAGGGGCGCTGGGGAAACCACTCCAGGTCCTCTGAACCTGGAGAGCACACCGTTCTCCAGCTGTGTGGGAGGCACAGGATGTGTGAGTTAACCCATTTGCCTAAAGCAGCCACTTAAGAGACTCAGGAGCTGGGTCTTCTAGGATCCCAGAAGGCCTCTGACCCTGAGGTCATCAGCTGGGGAAGCAAACAGCTGGCCTCTGAGATGGTGTCCAGCCCAGAAATGTGCGAGCCCAAGGGCGGGCGTGTCCACCACAGGGCAGCTGCCTTATCTGAAAGGGAGGACTGGATTGGGAAAGATTTCAGACACAAAGTAGGTAAAAACAAGGCTGTGGGGGCATGGGATTAGTGTGGGAGGAGAGTGGCAGGAATTCTCTGGAGAAACCAGAGGGGAGGGTGGGAGATACACAGGAAGCTCCAGAAGGAAATGTGAAAATGTTGCCCAGCAGCTAGGTGGCTTTCACAGCTAATATTAATACATAAGAGAACACGTTGAAAAACCAGAGCTAAGAGGACTGCTAGGATGTGGAAGGTGCGGTCCCTTCCCAGCGTAGCGGGCAGCATCAGCAGAGCCCACTCCCTGCCCCGATCTCCTTCAGTGAACTAGGTGTCCCAGTTGTGATCAGCCCAAGGATGACATAATTGGCTCCTGGCTACAAAGCAAACAAGTCAGTGAAGTGGAAGTGACAGGGACTTCTGGGGTCCTGAGGCTGTGATAGCCCAGGAAGCAGGGGGCCAGGCCCTGAGGGAGAAGTGGGGACCACAACTAGACCTGGTGCTGAACTGCTGCTGGCAAGGGAACCTCAATGCTAGCTCTGCACAGAATGAGGACTGTCCTCAAATTGGGAAGGGCCGGCAGAGGCTTAGGAGCAGGAACTGAAAAGGTATTTTAAGACTAAAATTGTCAAGCACAGCCCCTTAAATGCACGAACTCCCGAGAAAGCAGTCAGAATCCTGGGGGTGGAAAACGCATGGAGATCGGCGGTCAGGGAACTCAGAAATGCCCCGGTAGTTCTCTGCCGGGTCCTGCAGACCTGTGCCTAAGTCCAGCGGTGATGGGATGATGGGGAGGTCACGGGCAAGGCCCAAGGCCCAGGACAGGGCTGCCCCAGGCTCTGGGGTCTGTTCTGCAGTATTTGCATACTTCCTGGTGCCTGGGCAAGGACAGAGCCACGTGTGGGTTGGTAGACACGAGGGTCCCTGGGAGCAGGATGCGTGAGTGAGTTCTAGCTCTGGCTCCGCGGTGTCTCAAGACCATTTCAGCAGCCCAGCAAAGATGCAGAATGCTAACTCAGATCCAGATCTGATGGGATCTTGAACGGTGCTGAGTGGTAACAGAGCAACTCAGGACACACAGCAGACCCACCTCCCAGCAAGGAGCCTAAGGGCCAAGGCCAAGTGGGCCCCAGGGACCAGGGCGGTCCCAGGGGCATGGCCTCTATTAGCAGGTCTAAGGTACCTCTTTATGGGCCACCTGCAGCCTGCAGGTCAAGGGGAGTTGGTGTGTGGCAGCTAGGACCCCATCAGGAGGCCTGGGTCTGCATGGCACCTTCAGGTATGACTGTGAGACTAGGTGGAGGACACTAACTGGATACCATCAAGAACCAGTCTAGCCTGGACACTGGAGGTAGAATGCGGTTGGCCAGATGGCGCGAGGCACAGGGTCACCCCACCTTTGAGCAGCCAGCCCCAACAAGTCCAGGATGGAGCAGACGGCCCCACTGTTCCAGTTGTCACCCCAGCTCCCTTACCTCGCCCCTCCATGACCCAGCCTCCTTAAGGGCTTCATGGGAACAGCAGCGACTCCCAACCGCTGCAGGGCTGCCCATCAAGGCTGCCTGGCGCCCACTCCTCACCCCCGCCTGCCTGGGCCAGGATGCACCAACCATGGTAAGGCTGCCGTCATTAAACGACCTTGGCAGGCACCACACACCCAGCTCGTGGGTAAAAGTCTGGAACTAGTCATGTGGCACCTGCCGCCGCCAGGCAGGTCGGGTGCTGCCCAGAACTCCACAGCGCGGCCCAGGGAACGTCGCCTGCTGTGGGATCTGAGGATGGGCCCCTGCGCATGGAGGACCCCAATGGTCGCCCGCAGACCCCCGACACACCACTGCACACACAGTGCCTGAACAATGTATTCTTCTCAGCGGCCACCAGAGGGCGCGTGAACTGGAGGCACGGTCCAGAGTCAGCCCAGTGCTCACACAGACCGCAGCCCTCCCCTCCCTGTCTCAGTAGGTCCATCCGCCTGTCCCAGAGCGGGCTGCCACTTGGTGCCTGTGCACAGTTCTACTCCGAGGCTGCCCGTCAGCTGTGCCTGGGTGCTGGGGTGGAGCGGGCGGGGCCTCGCCTAGGTCCCTGGGACCCCTGGTCCATGAGTCCTCCATGCTGGCCTACTCCAGAACCACAGTGCCGCCCACCGCCTCCAGGGCCGCCTTGATCTTCTCGGCCTCCGCTTTGGTGACGTTGGCTTTGATTTCCTGGGGCAGGGACTCCACGAGCTTCTTTGCCTATTAGGGAGCAAAGTCAGACACTAGGGACCCGGGTCCCTGGACCGAGCCCACCCCGGGAGGGGGCCGTCCGGGCGGGAACTCACCTGCACCAGGTTTATGCCCTGCACGAAGTTCTTGATCTCCTTGATCAGCTTCACTTTGTCCACCGGCTTTGCCTCTGTCAGGCGGACGGTGAAGTGCGTCTGTTCTTTCCGTTTGGGGATGTCTTCTTCTACTGCCTGGGGGAAGGGGAGAGAAAGAGGGTGGCAAGGTGAAGAAGGATGGCTGGAGCAGGCTGCCCTGTCCTGTAACCCCAAAGGCAGGGCCCAGGCCGACAGCTGGGCAAAGCTTGCGATTCCAGCAGGAGGCCACGCCACCAGACCAGCTCAGGTCGCCCAACTGGTCAACTCCCTATCCACGCGGTCCTCTCCCTGTCTCATCCGCTCCTCAGTCAGACCTGGCTCCATCATTGCCCAGAAACATTTCCCTCTCCAGACGCTGTTCTAAACCTGCCTCCTCCCCGCACCCCTAACACTCTACTCCTTCATCCCTTAAAAACTACAACTTATGAGACAGGAAGAGCGACACCTAAAGTGTTTTGTGGATAAAATAACGTCACAGGAAAGCAGTGCCATTCCAGTCCTCAGCCAAGCCCAAGGTTATGTATCGATGACAAATTTACAACCAACTTCACCAAGTGACCAACAACGGACGGCTGGGTGTGGCAGCTCTAGAAATCTGAATAGGTTGGGACAGGAAAGCACTGATTCTGGGCCTTGTGCAAATGGCTCCTGGCTACACAAGAAAACGCCTGTTTGGAGATGTGTGGTAGAGCACAGGAAGGAAAGAACAGATCAGAAATGTGCCTTAAGTTTCAAGGGACAAGTGAGGCAAATGTGGCAAAACCTTAATTATCACTAAGGCTGGATGATGGATACATGGGTGACTGTGCTATTTCTACTTGTGGATAATATTTTTGTAACAAAAGTTGCAAAAAATACCTCCAAATTAGCGTGTGGCTTCAGGTCTGCTGGTTTCCTCCCAGAGACCCAAACCTGCCCATCACCCAGAGGCTGGAGCTGCCTATCACCTCCCACTCCTCTCCAGCCATGACAGGCCTCATACTCCTGTGCCCACCGTCCCTTTGCCAGGAAACCCTTGCCGCCTTCCTCAGCTCCTCACATCTCTGTGTCACCAGCTTACCATGGCGTTTCTCGAAATTGTAACCCCCCTCAAGTTTCTTCCTTTTTTCCACAGCACTTACGATTACTATTCAACATAAGTTCTTTCTGTCTTTTCCTCTCATCTGGCTCATCGTGTTTCCCTCCACTAGAAACATGGTCCCCAGTGGTCAGGGACCCACACATCCTTGCAGGGAGGAGGTCCCGGGAAGTGGACAGGAGCCCATAGCCAAAAACACACATATTCGCAGGGCGTGTTGACTGATGCACACCCAAGATGAGGGTTGAGAGGAATCTGGCCACGTGACATGTGGCAAGATGGAAACTGGGCACCAGAGAAACATCTCTTTCTGCACAGGACCCCAGCCTGGGCTCACCTCGGGGACTGCAGCAGCAGGGGCCGCACCAGGCATCATGCCACCCATTGGCATGAGTCCGACATCCTGGATCTTCAACGTTTTCTGCAGGGACAGAGGAGAAGTTTCAGAAGCAGACTGTCACACCCAAATACACTCAGGGACAAGTCTGGCACGGTCCTCGCACCCAGGGAGCACACTTTCCACAATTTACAAAACTCCTCAAATACTTCAGAAACAAGACAAGGGCCCCAGCCTTGGGTGCCCAGGCCTGGCCCGTGGTACCTTCAGGAGCTCATTGAGGTCTGAGATCTCCAGGAGCGTGAGGCTGGCAATGTCCTGGACCAGCTGCTGGATCTTGGGGGGGTACTCCTTGGGGGTGTTATCCAGGGGTGCACCGGCGAGGGCTTCCCCCCTTCGATGGCTGCTGCATCTCATCAGCCGCAAGGTGCAGACACGCGGCACCTGTTGCCTAGACCCCAAACAGAGCCATCAGCCTGGCACAGGTGGGTGACAAAAGTCCAAGCAAGTAGACGCCATGCGCTCAGGTCTAGCTCCTTGGTCCCAGCCCAGGGTTCTCGGACTCGAGGGTTCACGTGGATAGCAACGGGAGTTCCCAACTACTTTACATTCTTCAAGAACCTTAGTAATCCACATAATTATCGCAAACATACTACCCACGTTAACTTCCTGGTTTGAATGAATGGTAACAGCCCATGGGGTAAGGCAACTACTTGAATGCATTTTGCTACACAAAGCCTTTCAGAACCTGGGTCCCTCGACCCGCCGGATGCTCTGATGGGAGTCCTACCACGTCACTGAGCTGCGGGGGAAACTGAGGCCCGGACAGGGGCAAGAACCCATCCAAGGTCATCTGGGGCCACCCCAGCACTCTCCGCGGCCTGCACGGTTAGGGGGTCGGCACGCGAGGGGAGGCCCCGCGCCCCACACCCTCGCCGAAACCCGCCGAGCTGGTGTATCCTCCCGCCCGCCGCCCCAACCCGAACCATCAGTGGCAGGCCGAGGACCCCCACTCTGCACGCCCAGTTCTCGGCAGCACGCGGTACCTGGCGAGGCGGAGCGCGGTGCCCCGAAGCCCGAGACATGGCCCCCACAGGGGGCGAGCGGCCGCCAGCAGCATCGCTCCGCGGGCGGGAAGGTCACACGCGGCTCCCAGGAGGAGGGACACTCTAGCCGCCGGGGCTGCCGAGTATACACGCTGGGGAGGACGCTCTAGCCTCTGGGGCCTCGGAGCATACGAGCTAGGGAGGACGCTCTAGCCGCTCCTCGCTCCAGCTTCCTCTCGCTTCCCGAGATTACCCACAAGGCGACAGGTCGCGCATGCGCAGATCCTCGTTGGAGGTGCAGGCCGGGCTCTGGGGTTCAGACAGTGCCTGGCTCGGGCCCTCGGCCCGCTGGGGAACGAAGGCCAGTGAAAGGCGAGGCTTGGCGCCAGGATCCGTTCGACGAGGAGGCGAGCCTGGCCTGTATTGTACAGCGCCGTGATCGCTGCCCCCCGGCCCCTGCCCAAGCTGACGCCTGCTGACAGTGGCTTTCGGCTCCCGACGTTTGCTCTGCGGCCCGCAGCCCATGGTCACCCAGCGCGCAGAGTTCCAGCTGCCCTCTGGCCAGCCTGCTCCGGGCTTCCTCCTCCACTGAAACGGCTGCCTCTCCCGCCAGCACGGGAGGGAGCACGTTTTGTCTTTCGGTCCAGACCGCCCTGGGAGCGAGGCCGTGCCTTGGGGGCTCGGGACTCCACTTAGTGTTTGCCAAGGGTTATAATTGCGCTCACAAGGGGTCGAGCGATGGAAGGGCTGGCAGCCCCACTGGGAGAAGAGCAACTGTAAGCCCAGATACCCAAATCCTCTGCGCTCCTGCCATCCTTTCCGTCCAGCTCTCAAAACATCCCGCACGTGGGGTGTCTGGCTCCGCCCCGCTGCAGCGTCTGCCGTCGGGGTCCTGGACTTTTCTTCAAATGCAGCAAGCCGAATAGCAAGCAAATCCTCCAGCTGTCCCATCTGCCCCACACTTGCTAAGAGCCAGTGCTGAAGCCAACCAGACTTTAGGTCATGTTGAGAAGGCAGGGCTGCCCTCTGCCCAGCACCTATCTTGGCCCTGCTTTTGACCTGAGCTCAAGTAGCCCGTGTGCCTATTAAACTAGCCCATTCCTTCATAGAAGAGCTAATGCTGGGGTCAGCTAAGGGGCTTGGGTATTTAAGGTGCGGTGTCCTGAACTCGGGATGCAACTAGCACTGTAGCTGGACTAGAGCTGGGGGCCCTGCAGGTGTCTCCCAGGAGTTGGGCAGGGCTGGGAGGGGAGGACAGAGTGGAGCCCCCGTGCTCAGTTTCAGGGAGGAGACGACAGAGATGCAGCTGTGGCCAGTGCAGCATCCCCTTTAGTGGGGGGTGTGGGGGGACGGTGTCCCCTGGGGAGACTGCCCATGAAGCTGGGCCTGGGGCAGGGGGCAGGCTGGCTTTCACACCACTATCCTCTGAGCAGACACTCAATACATGTTGAAAGAGATTTTATTATCACTGTTCCATTCCGCCTACTTGGGGCACTGGATGAGATGACAGCTCAGAAGCAGAGAAGCTGGAGACGAGCCCCCACCCTTCCTGTGAGGGCCAGGAGCGCCCCTGCTGACAGCCCAGGGGCCACACTAGAGGGCTCTGGGGAGACACACTAGTCACAGACCACAGGTCCCCACGGTCTCATGGGACAGGGGGATGGGAGGGCAGCGGAACCCCACTCCAGTCGGCCCTCATAGGACCTGACATACCAGGCTGGGGGCTTCCTGTCAAGAGAAGATTCTTCCCTCCCACCCTCCACCCTGAGGCCCAGCTCTGGGGGAAGAAGTCAGAGACCAACTCAAGGAGACAGGGACGAGGATGGGGCCTGGGGGACAAGGAGCCAGCAGGCGAGGACAGGAGGAGGGCCAGGGAGAGGGGCCATCCCCACGCGCTCGGAGCAGGGACACTACAGGGCAGTAAGAGGAGAGCACGAGGCAGGAGGACGATGCTAGTTAGAGACGGAGGCGGCGGTTCCAAGAACTGTAGTGTTCCTCTGGGCAGTGAGTTGGCCTGGGTCAGTCGAACGAGATGAGCTGGGCTTCGCTGCCCTGTGCGGGCGGCCCCGGTGCTGGTGGCTGGGGGGCCACAGGAGGCTGCTGGGGAGGGCCAGCCGAGGGTGCCATCTGGAGGACACACCAGCCATTGGTCCTTCCTCCCCAGACCCGAAATCCCCACCCTCCAGTGGCTTCTCTAGAGCCCTCCGTCTGGGCCTCACCCCCAGGACTCAGGGCCTCCCCGTCAGCTGTGGTGGGCTCCCTGACGGTTCCTGCCCAGCATGGACAGACCCCGGGAGTTGCCGACAATGTCTGCCACTGAGCGGCTCACTACCTACAGGTCCTTGCGTGTGGCCCTCCAGGCTGTGTCTGCAAGCAGCGGTCCTGGCCACACTGCTTGCTCTTTCCAGGGTCACCCCTCGGTGGAAGGCATGGTCCCCTGGGTAGCAGGCCTGAGAGGCTCACCTGCTGGTACAGGGGCTGCTGCCCCGAGATGTAGGGCTGCTGTGGGGGAGGCAGAGGCGCGTCCTGGCTGGGGAGGGTGGTCATGAGATTCTGTGGAGAAGAACCCTGTCACTATACAGATGGGGAAAACCAGCGAGGAGAGCCCATGGAGGGGAAGAGGGTGGTGATCAGAAGGGCCGAGCCTGCCCAGCCTCCCCCAGCCCTCGCCCCTGTGCAGACACCCAATGTAGTCTCACCTGCACACCGTAGGGCTGATAGCCCATGGACACCGCCTGGCTCCCCATGTAACCCATGGTGCCGGACTGCGGAGGCTGGGAGATGGCCGGGAGGCTCTGCGGGGCCTGCGAGGCCACGTTCTGTTGGGGAAGGGTGTGATGGGAGAGGGCTGGGCACCCAACGGGCCTCTCGGGGGAGGGGAGCGGCCTCGCCCACCTACCTGATAGCCCTGCGTAGGAGTGGGCTGGTAGGATGAGTAGGCTGGGCTGGCGGAGGGCCCCGCTGGGCCCTGAGGGGCCGCCTGCCCGCCGGTGGCCCCTGCCGGGTACATGTAGGCATTCACCATGCTGGGATCTGTGGAGAAAAAGAGGAGTGAGCGCGCAACCCAGGAAGCGGGGACACTTCTCTGAGTTTTCCACTTTTGTTGTGACTTTTGGAACCAAGTTCATGTTTCACAGTCTCAAAAAGGAAAAGAAATAAAATCAACAAAGATGGGAGAGGACCCCTACAACTGAACAAAATGGGAAGAAATGAACCCAACTGTCTTCCAAATGAGTAAATGGTGACACTGCAGGGGCTGGGGAAGAGCTAAGTGGAGTAACTTCAGAACCCAGAATCTGGACCCTGGGCTCGCAGCCTGAAGACACAGGACAAATGGCAAAGAGCATGGACAGGAAGACCCTTTGCACAGTGGCCTGGAGTGGCATTCCTAAAACTACCTTCTGTGAATTCCAGGAACGAACAAGTCAGTACAGAGGACGAGAGGCAGGCCTGTCAGGGAGAGGGTTAAAGACACAGAAAGCGGGGGGGAGCCTGTGCTGCTGGACTGGGAAGTATGGGAGTAAACGTGTGTTTTGGTGTACACAGATAAAGACACGTGTGCACACGCTTTCTGTTCTGTCTGCTGAGGGCCTAAAACCCAGGTCTGGGTCTCCAAACGCCATCCTCCACTAAGAGGAAGCCGGGGCTCCTTGGAGAAACAGGTGCTTCTAGGACTGAGAAACTACATGCTGAACACACAACATCTACTTGTACCAGGAAGAAAGCATCCAAAAAATGGCGGAACATGTCAGGAGCACACGGGCGCTGGCCTGAGGGGCTCCCAGGCCACACCGGGGACAGTCTGAGCATCAAAACAAATAGAGTAAAAGATTATGACTTTTTTAATAAAAAGTATTTAGTTGGCAGGTGAAAATTTAAGAAGAACGAGAGTATTTAAAAGTCTTATCGGGCCGGCCAAGTAGCTCAGTTGGTTAAGAGCTCGCTCAAGAGTTTGAGCTCTGAGCAACAGCAGTTCGATGCCTGGCCTGAGCTGAGCTGCCACTGAGCTGCCAACAGGTGGCAGGATGGCTCAGCGGAAAAAAAAAAGTCTTCTCTCCACACAAAACACTTGCCTATCAAGGGAAAAATTAATTCCAGTGACATCCAGTCAAATTGATACAGCCCTAGTACGTCACACCGACGGGGGACTACGTGAACACAAACTGAGGGATGGTCTGCAAGTGTTCTCTGAGAAGTCAGTGTTACGAAATACAAAGGCAGACCAAGAAATGTTCTAGATTAAAGAAGGCGAAAGAGGCCAGCTGAATACAACACATGCGAGGGGCATTCCTACTGGGGCAATCCAAGACCACAGTGGCTGTGGGTGAGGTCCCAGCACGTGTCTGTGCCCAGGGCCTGAGGGAGTGTCTGGTTTTAGGAAATGTTCACGGAAGCCGCTAGGAGTAATGGGGACCTGCCTGCCGTTCACTCTGCAATGGGCCAGGAGAGAGAGAGAGGGAGGGGGAGGGGGAGGGGGAGTCTGTGGAGAGCAAGCAAATGTGGCAGAATGTTAACATCTTGGGAATCTGGAAAATTCTTTATACCGTTCTCTTAATTTTTCTGTAAATCTCATGTTACGCCGAGAAAAAGAAGGTAATGGTGTGGGGCCCACCCTGGTGGTGGGCACGTCCGCCTGCCCGTTACCTGCTGCGGCCCCGGGCATGCTGGGGTAGGGGCCGCCGCCGGCCGGGGCTGGCTGGCTCATGTACACGGTGTGCATAGGGGAGCCCTCCACTGAGCCTGCGGGGCTGAAAGTCGCTGGGAAGCTTGTGGGGCCAGATGGCTGGTATAGCACGCCCCCCGCCGCGGGCATGGCCTGGAGCTGGGGACAGAGAGAGACCGTCAGGTGGTTGCCAGAAGCCCACGGCTGGCGGGGTGAGGTATGGGGGCGCGTACCTGGGCGTAGGGCAGGGCGAAGGCAGGCATGTGGGCGCGCATCTGGATGGTCTGCTTCTGCTGCTCCAGGCGCATCTGCCGCTCCTTCTCCTGCTCCTGCAGGCGCTGGATGGCCAGCTGCCTCTGCACCTCCAGGTACTCCTGTGACCACAGCACAGCGGTCAGGCAGGGCCACTGTGCCCTGTACCCCGCCTCCGGGCTGCCCACCGCACCTGCTTCTTCTGCCGCATGATCTCCAGCTTCTGGGCCAGCTGGATCTGGCGCTGGCGCTCGGCCTCCTCAGCTGCCCGGCGCAGCTTCTCCCGGTGCTCCTCCCGCAGGGCACTCAGCGCCCCCCGGGCGTCGCGGATCTGCGCCAGCTTGTCCTGCAGCCCCTCGTAGTACACTGCGGGAAGGCAGGGCAGGGGACCCTTGGCACTGCACAGAAGCTCAGGCTGCCCGGTGGGGCTCCTGCCCCGCGCAGTGCCGGACCTGCCTTTGCCCAGCCAGGTGCTCATCAACAGGGCACAGCTGGCATGGGGGCTAGCTGGGGGGATTCTTCCTTGAGCTAACTGTCCTACGCTTAGTGGGTCATTTCCTATCACTAGGAACACCTCCCTTGGAGTCCACGGCCCAGGCTCCCAAGAAGCCGCAGCCCCGGGGCAGCCCCACCCCGGGAACCTTTCACAGCCCTTAGCCACTGGCCAGTGTGGGAGGCACCCACGGCACCCGGGTGGTGCAGTGAGGATGCCCGGGAGGCACGTACGTCTACGCTCGTCCAGCTGGTTGAGCAGCTCCAGCAGCTGGGGGTGCATGCTGTTGATGGACTGGAAGAGGGACAGCACAGCCGAGTCGTTGGTGATGCTGCGGCCGCGCACGTGGTTGCTTTTCATGCGGTTGACGAAGGTGCTGACGGCGTTCTGCAGCGCCTTCAGGAACTGCGCATGGCTCTCCTCTGATTCCCCGTTCTGGCACTGCTGGGGAGGACACACAGGGGGGCTGGTTGAGCCTCACCACGCCACCAGGACTGAGTGGGGCACAGACTCTTGGTGGGGCGGTGGCAGCCCCACCTGCTCCAGCCCCGGAGCCATCCGGGCACTGAGCTCCGAGCCTCCGATGCCCCTGACCTGACCTCTGGATGGTACTTCAGGGGACACCACAGCCTCCTGCCTCACAAATGAGGAAACCGAGGCCCAGGGAGGCTTGGCTCTTGCCACGGGCACGGCGGGTGCCAGGACAGAACTGGCTGCAGCCCCTCGGGCCTCCCTTGCAGGCACTCCCCCCAGTGGTGATATGGGGCCTGCCTCCCCTGCTAAGGCCTGGGCATCTTCCTCCAGTGGCCAGCATGGCCCACAGGCCCCTGCACAGACTCAGACTCTGAACAGCCCTAGAACATTCGGTCCGTTTGGGGTGGGCAGCGAGTGGCTGAGCTCTCGGCCACAGCCAGCCCAGAGGGGCCCGCCTGCAGGTTACCGTGGGCACGGCTTGGCTTCCTGTCAGGACAGGCGCCTGTGCAGGGCCTGATACTCTGCACTCGGGACGCCACGTTTTCCCGGCTTACCTCACTGAAGTGGCCGCTGGAAGCAGTTACGGGCTGAGAGTCTGTGTCCGGGAGGGGAGTCTGGAAGAGACCAGCGGGTGAGTGGGCCCAGCCTGCCCCATGCGCCCCTCCCAGGGGCCTGTGGTGCAGGAGCACTGAGAGGGCCCCTCACCTCCGCCGCGTTCACAGGCGCTGCGTGCGCCTCCGCAGGCTGGGCGGCCGGCTCCGCCAGGGGCACTGGCGCCGACGGCGTGGGGCTCTTCCGAGCCTCCTCCTGCTTCTTTTCCCAGTAGTTCCGGTTCAGGTACCGGGCAAGCTGCGCGGGTGACAGCGGGTCACCCTCGAGGGCCATGGAGCAGTGAGGGGAAGCACCGCGGGCGGGGCGGGCGGGGTGGGGGGCTCACCTCGGGGTCCATGTCCTCAGCCAGTGGCGCTGACGAGTTCTGGGGAGACACGAGACATGGAGGATCTGAGGGGCCACAGGTCAGAGGCGCAGTGACCTGCAGCCTCAGGCCGCACGCCCAGCTCCTCCCCAGCCCTCACTCAGGAGGCCGGCCTGGGGGGCACAGCAGAGACACTGGACCCTGAAATCTGGCCAGGGTCCTAGAACCACTAACAAGGAGCAGGGCAGCACCTTCCCTCCCGCCCATCAACAGCACAGTTGGTCCCCAACAGGTAGGGGCAGGGCTGTTCTCAACGCCTGGCCGGACTGGCCCCACCCACTACCCACCCCCTACTCAGAGGAGCTGAGGCCACAGAGCTTGGGTCCACCCTTCCACATAGTAAGTCCTTTCAAGGCCTCAGTTTGAGACTAGAAAAACGCAGTCACCCTGACCCCACAGCTCCACACCTCCTCCTGCTGGGGGGTACAGAGGAGACTGAGCTCACACCAGAGGGGCCTCCAGCCCCACAGGGGATCCCTGACCAAGGAACCGAAGACTGTGGGGGGTGGGAAGGGGGCAGGCCGCGTGACACAGCACTGTCCTTTCCGGGGCAGCCTCCCTGCTCCCTGCCACGGAAAGCCATCCGAGCCAGTGTAACCTCGCCAGAGGGAGCACTCACCACGGGCGAAGAGTACAGGCTGCTGGCAGGGGGCGCTGAGGAGGCCACGGGTGTGGGTTCCGCCTTGGGGTACGCGGTATATGTGGACTTCTGTCTCTGTGGGAGGACCAGGCGAGCACATGGCACAGGTGACCGAGCCTCCACACTCTGTGCCCTCCCCAAACATCTAAGGGTGCTCCCCCGCACCCCAGACTCGGGCCTCCCCTCAGCTCACCATCCTCTCCTTCTCCTCGGCCTCCGACTGTGACAGGGCCAGGGCCAGCTGCAGCTCCTCTTCTTCCTGCAGAGCCGTCTCGTCCCTCTTGGGGGGCAGCTGGGGACAAACAGAGCTGGGTGAGTGGGGCCTGGGGAGAAGCTCCTGAGGAGAGGCGCCCGCAGGCCGGCCAGTACCTGGGACTGCTGCGACAGGGGGCTGGTCAGGTACTCCGGGGGCAGCTCCATCGTGGAGGGGGCCTTGCCTTCGGCTTTCCTGGAGCAAGAGGACAGTGTGGGGGACTCAGCATCACACCCTGGCCTCCCCAGAGTTCTTGAGGATGCTGCCTGGGACTTCCTCCAACATCCCCATGGAGTGACAAAAGTGGTTCCATGGCCACGCTTGGAGAAAAGCTGAACTCTCCAACCAGCTCCGTCACTTCCAGGCCTAGGAACCCTGTGCGAGTCACCAGGCCCGAGTCATAGCCCCCTCTCCTGAAAGCGAGGTTCAAACACCCGCCTGGCTGGGCCGTGGCTTCCCACAGTACAGCGCGCCACTGGAGGGACCTGCAGACACCCCTTAGCCGAGGGACCGGCTCCTATCACCAACGCTGGGACACACAGACGGCCTGGGCCTCTAAACCTGCAGCACCGAGAGGCATAGCCTCACTCCTGGGATCCCACCAGGGCGGCAGAACCTGACCTTGACCATGAGGAAGCCTCAGAGCCAAGCCGAGGGACACACTGCAATGGCCTAGACCCTTCAGAAATGTCTGCATCACGAAAGACAAAGAGGATGGACATGTGCAGGGCACGGGGGACTGAGGGGGCGTGACAATCCCTGCCATGCACTGAAGAGCCCGATGGGCCCTGATGGGGCAGAACTGCCACTGACTTCACTGGGACTCGGTGAAGCCAGAAAAGGGCTGCCAAGTACGCATCAGCGGGGCACTGATGCCAAATGGCCGACCTGACAGGCATGCTGTGCTACGGAAGACAGGAAGACGATGCGTCCTTCCTGGGAATATGAAGGTTCGGGTGGGGGCAGCTCACTCACTACGCTTCAGGATAAAGCACGTGTGTGCGAACACACACGCAGATGGGAGAGGGGGACATGCAATGAAGCCACCGTGGAAGTAAGTCGATGTCAACACCGAGGGACCAGGTGGACGGCATGCGTGCAGGGTCTTCTTATCGCGCCTGCATCTTGCTGGTAAGTTTTACTTCCAAACGAAAAGTGAAAGGACAAACAAACCCCAGCAAGTGGCTGGCAGGTGTCAGGCCCCGGCCCTGGCACTGCCCTAGTCTGCGGCACGGCGCGGGGATGGGGCAGCCCTCCTGGACAGCCCTCGGCAGGACAGAAGCCGGCTGCATGGAGCATTGCAGCCTGCGGGCACCTGGCGGGGGACTCACTTGTTCAGCTGCTCGTAGCAGGGCTCGCACACACGCACCTCCTTCTCGATGCCGAACTTGGGGATGGTGGAGTACCGAGAGGAGCACTTGCCGCAGAAGATCTGGCCGCAGGCCCGGCAGTGGTGCTGTGACATGTGACATGGGGCAGGTCAGGCGGTGGCCAGGAAAGGACCCGAGGGCCCGTGGCCCATGCGCACTCCGCCCAGCACGCCTGGCCACAGAGCGTCCCAGGCTGGCCTCCCAGGCTGCGGTGGGCCAAGGGTGGGCATGCCCGGGCCCTCAGCTGCAGCCGCTGCTTAGAAGGAAAGATTTTAAAATAAAAAGGTTCACAGAAAACGTGTGTGAATTAAGCTGAGATGGGTTTTGCTGGGTGAGGCCAAGCCTTTTTTGTCACCGGCCTGGGCTTCACCAAGGACAGAGACATTGGCTTCAGGGTCTGAGCTGGACAGGCTGAGTCAGCTGAGGACAGATGGCTGAGGGGCTGTCAGCAGAGGCAAGTCTGACCATCAGACACCAGGCCCTTGGTGGCCACGCTCACACATAGCTGAGGACTAAATCTGCTCCCCGCACCAGCAGGCCACAGCCAAGAGGGAAAGGACCGTGAGTGGGGGCAGTGGCCTCGGGATGATGGCGGGTGGCCCGGGGTCTACCTGGCCTTGCATGCGGCTGGGCCCCTCCCCCCATAAGGTGCACTCACCTTGCGGGTCACCACCCCGAACTGCACCCTGCACCGGTGGCACTCCTCCGCGTCTACCCAGTCGGGAGCCTGGGGGGTGGGCAGAGTCAGGACCCAATAGCCCTCCCTTTCCAAGATCCCCGCTTCCCACAGACGGGAGAAGACCCAGTGTGGGCAGACACCACGCAGGTCAGTGTGGACGCGAGGAAGGAGCCTCTGAAGAGCTTTCCTTTTTAAAGGCTCAACAGCAAGACATCCCACAGCTCCAAGGACACGTCAATATTTGTTTAACGACGTGAACCCACCAGCCACAGTCCAAAGGCAGCACCTTGACCTGTGTTCCGATCTCAGCCTGCAGAGACACTTGGCAGTGCCAGACGTTCTCGTTTTTGAGATAAACAGCCGCTCGCCTGCCGCCAGTGCTACCAACAAGCCCCATCCAGGCTCCCTCCAGCCTCCCCAGAGCAGCCCCAAGCCTGCATCCCCTGCAGCTGGGACTCACTCTCTCTGCAGCGAACATGGCGTCACTCTCCTTGAACTCAGGGAAGACGTGTCCTAGGGAACAGAGACTGTGGTTAGAGCCAGGGCCACCCTGGTGTGTGCGAGGCCCGACAGCCTCACCTGTCATGACCAGTCTGCCCTGAGGCCTTTGGGATCCACGTCCTAGCTCTTGGCATCTGCCTCCCCGAAAAGACCTACAAGAGGAGGCCCAGGGCCCCCAGGTGGCCAGTGCAGTGACCCCACACTGGAAAAGGGCGTCCTGGTGCACAGCTGGCCAGCTGCTCCACGCTAGATGGAGTGAGGCAGAGCCGGTCTTGCTCCCACCACGTCAAGGCCTCACAGAGGTTCCCTGGGTCTCCCATGTGGCTCCTGGCCCCTTACTCCAGCCAACCACACTTCCCTGTGCTCTTAAACATGGATCCTCAAGCCTTCGTGAGGCACAGGCCCTTTGGGACTTCTATCAAGCTTTGGACGCTCTCCCCAGGAAAGCGAATGTGAGTACACACATGGCACCGAGGGCCTGACACCAGCTCACAGACCTGCACAGGAACCTCGTCACACCTCCGCATGGTCCCGCCCAGCCCACAGTCAGCAGACACGGCCCCGCTCATACTCTTTGCGTCTTTATGGCCAGCGGGCCAAGCCAAGGGCTGAGCACAGGCGGGAGCCGCTCCGGCCCAGCCCCTCACTCCCTGTCCGGCCGAGACCAGCCAATCCTCCAAGCGTGGCCTACACCCACTGCCCAAACCCCACAAGCTCTCTGTGGCTGCCACAACAGGAGGAAGGCAGAGAGGTCCTTAAAAAAAGCACCTCAGCACCCACGCCTCGGCTTAGAACTGTCCAAGGACCTCCCGCTGCACTCAAAGCGCCCCAGCTCCGCCCGCACCCCTCCTCCGGGCTGGCACCTCCCGTACATTCGGCAGCCTGTGTGCTCAGCCCCGGTTCCGAACCGGAATCCTCTGTGGGATGCTGGGGCCCAGAGCTTCTCTCACTCTTCATCCTCACTCTCAGGCCCATCACACGTGCCGCCTGCTCTGCATGCCTCCCCGCCCACTCGTCCTAAACCGGCCCGGCAGGGGCCAGGTCCCGGCTTTACTTCCCTCCTAGAACCTCTCACTCAGAAATTAGCTTGTTAACTTCCCGTGTGTCTGCCGCACCGCCTCACGCCTGCCCCCATGGGGTGTGAGGTCCAGAAAGGCTGGGGCTCAGGAGCCCAGAGCCGGGCTGACCTCACGCACCCATCCTGGGGACACCCGCTCCACGTGCCCACCACTGGTTACGAGGTGAGATGCTGTCCACCCCCAACCATGGCTCATGGCCCCGCCTGGTGCATCGCTCAGCCCCTGGAGGCTGTGTCCCTCCCCCATCCGACTCACCTTCCACCTTCATGATCTGGTACGTGTCCTGGACGACCTTGTACTTGGGCTCATTCCGGAAAGCGTGCGCCCAGGCCTGGATCAGGTACAGGATCTTGTTTCGGACGTTTACTTCCACCTGCCTCTGCAGAGAAGAAAGGAGCATCAGGAGGCCGTGGGAGACGCAGGTACCAGAGACCTGTCAGACTGAGGAAGTGGCTGGCAGGAACCCCCTACTCCAAGCCGACAGGGCTGGCAGAGGCGGATGGGTCCCACGGCGGGTGCGGGGGCCACGTACGACCTTCTTCCCAGGCCCTCCTCCATGGACCCCACCTCTGAGGACAAGTCATCACACTTGTCTGCCCACTCAGGGCCTGGACTGTAAACCCCAGAAGAAGCCAGGGACCCCAGGCCAAACCTGTCTAGGTCCCGCATCCCCCACCGACCTGCTTCTCTCCCTGGCCCTTCCTGACCAGTGTGGGAGCCCCTCATCCGTAACCCACTCTGGCCCTGCCCAACACCGGCCTCCAACGAACGGGCAGAGCCAAACAGGCCTAGGCAGGGGGAGCCGCTGTGTAGCCAGCCGGCCCCCTTCCGGTCACAGGCAGTCCAGGGACATCCCCACATACAGAGCCACCATTTCCACCAGCTTAGAGCACAGCCAGTCACACTTCCAGAGCCCTCTTGGGGCACTGTTACCCACGCTCGGGAGGATGGCAGGACAAGAAAGCTGCTTCAGGAAGACAACAACCACAGCTCAGCACTAGGCTTCTGGTTCTTTCCTGTGACCTGTGTCCAGTCAGTAGACCCTCCTGAACTATCTCCAAAGGGGACTAACTGGCTTAGACCACGTGTGGCAGAACAGGACAACTGGCAAATGTAGAAGACAAGTTCCAACTCCTTCCTCTCTTTCTGATGGGCCAGAGTAGGGACTGGCCAAGGTCACCAGCGGGTCTCGGAGAAGCCGGCTGTCAGCTCAGGTCCCAGACAGGCGCTTGGCCACATGGGCTCACATGCATGCGGACAGGACTGGGAAACCGTGGCCTCGCCCACCGGTGGCAGAAGAGATGGTGCCCAGGGCTGCACTTCTCAGCAGCCAGCCCCAGGGGCAGCCTCACCTCCATGGGGTCCCCTTTCACCTCAAAGAATGGCTGTTGCACCCTGCTTTGCATCACACAACCTTGGGTGTTACCGCCCATGTTACAATCCCTGCAGGGGGCAGTGTGAGCCTCAGAGGCCATGGGCAGGACCAGCTCAAGAAGGTGCTCGGGCTCAGGAGGACATGAAGCCTACTCCCAAGGGTCCCTGCTCTGCTGTCTCCCCACTGTTCCCCCATGGACACGTGCCTCCCGCTCAGAACCCTTCCTGACCGTGTGCGTGTCCCCCGTCCTTCAAGGCTCAGCTCCCAGCCCTGCCTCGGGATGCCTTCCCTGACCCTGCAGGAAGAGGGGCCTGCTGCACGCCCCGACACGACCAGGTGGGGACTGGCATGGCACAGGGACCCCCTCCTGACGCGGAGTGCCTACCTTCAGCAGCTCCTTCAGCTCCTCCATGGTCTGCTTGTTCGCCACCTCGTCGTGGACCGTCTGGCCACAGTTCTTCACCACGGATTCCATGACCTGTAGACACCAGGACGAGAAGGGTCGGGTTACTGGCAGGGCAGGGACCTCTCCTGGACCGGCCCACCTCCCCAGGAGAAGGGCCCGCAGGCCACCCAGCCCATCCGAGAGCCCACATGGCAGCCTCTGAGGCAGGCAGCAGCCTGTGGGTCTGCTTGCTCACACCACTAACTCCGCGCTTTAGCACCAAGGATAGAGACTAGAGTTATACTCGGGGCCCTTAAGTGTGTCAGCTTCAGGCGGAACAGCTAAGACACTGCTCCCGCCAGAGCCCTGTCAGAGCTGCCCACATCTGCCCTCACGCCCGGTGCCTGCCTTCTGCCAGTGGTGTGCCCAAGTAGGTAGGGAGACAAGGCCGCGAGGGCCACTCATGTCTGCTATCCTGACTGCTGGGAGTGAGGACCCTGAAAGGACTAGAGTGCAGGGATCTAGTCACCTCGAGAGCATATAAGGCCACATGGGGGTTCTTGTCATTGACTTTCTTCTTGATAGAACTCACGGCATATTTTGCTCTGAAAAAAAAAGGCATTGGCAGAGAGAGAAAAAAGAAAACAGTCTCAGCAACTAAGACGAGAGAAGTCCGTCTGCCATCTGGTCCTTGAGAACCTCCAAGCTAAGTCCTCTGACTGTCCCCAGATCTCAGAAATGCCAGCACACTGCCCAGGCAGCTCTCCACCAAGGCCGCAGGTCCCTGGGGGGGGGGGGGGGTGAGGGGGTCAGTGACCCAGCCACCCCAGTGCACAGCGCGGCTGCCCCCATGCTCACTTACTGCGTGTCCCCCTGACGGATCAGGTCGCAGATCTGGAGGATGGACTCCCAGTCGGTCTCCAGCAGAAGCTGGCTGGTCGCTTTGTCTAGGGCAGAAACGCACTGTTACAGGGGCTCGTCCTGCTGATTCCCGAGGTGGCCCCCAGCTCAGCAATAGGGAGGACCGGCTGCCTTATCCCCATTTTAAACATGTGGGCCAAATGGAAACCCTGAGAAGATGCTCCCGACACGCGGTGATAACCACAAGCGTGCTGTCCTCCCCACATGGGGCAGACAGCTTGAAACGTAACAACAGGGATCCCATCGTGTGCTCATTACACACCAGCTGCGGTTCCAAACGCTTCACGTGAACTGTCTCTTTACACAACCTTCCAAGCTAGGTCCCATTTCCATCCTCTGCACATAAACTGACACAGACAGGTGAGGTCACTGCCTGAAGTCACAGTTCGCTGGGGACAGAGCCAGGATTCAACGCTATGCTCAGCTGCTTCTCCACAAAGAGAAATCTGCCACCTCGGCCGTCAGAGTCCCTGGTTTTCAGCAGTTTAACCTAGTTGGTTAGATCTCAGCTGGGGCAGGGCTGCAGAGGCAGCACGGGCTCCAGACCCCCGCTTCAACGGGTGGGAACAAGAACCTCCAAGGATCCCCCCAACTAACAGCTCTCTCTCCATCACCATTGCCTCACACAGACGTGCACGGAGGCGCTGCTGCTCCAGCCCTGCCCGCACCGTCTTCCCCGGAGACCACACATGACCTAACAAGGCGTGCACACGGTCAGCTCTGACTGGTACTGACTGATCACTGAAGGGCTGAACCACCCCGTGTCTGAGTCCCTCAGCTGGCGCCTTCCAAGAGCAATGAAGGTGCCTCATCTGAGGTCTCCCCCAAAACCATACTCAAGGGAAAAGGAGGGCAGGCTGGGGCTGACCGTTCGAACACCCAGTGCGCCTGTCCCAACCCCAGGGCGTTCATTGGGGAGAGGGGGAACATGCCCACAAATGTGTGACCTCCAGGAGGCTCAGAAAGGAGCTGCCATAGGCCTCCAGCAGACAGAGGAGCCGCCTTCATGAATCACCAGGGCTTCCCGGAGCGAGTGGGGAAGAACAGGGCGGCTGGCCTGGTCCCCAGGGAAGCAGCCCTCAAATGAGCTCGGCAGGTCCCAGGGAGGCGTTCTCCGTTTGGGGGTGCCAATGTTTGGGTCAGAAGCCCCAAGCCCCACGCAACCTAGGCTTTTGGGGGGAGGGCATCCACTGATGTTTTACTATTTGACCGAGTCACCCATCTTAGTGACTCAGGACTTCGGGCCCGCTCAGTCAGATGCCTGTGATCAATTCCTGGGGACCTGCTGGCTCCTCCGCGGACCCTCACTCGCCTCGTCAGCGCCCGCGCCCGGCAGCACCGAACCCAGATCGCGGAGCGCCCACCCAGTGTCCGGGCCACGCAGCGGCAGCCCCGCTCAGCTCCCGAGCCGCGGACCGGCCGAGAGGATCGGGGGCCGCGGAGTCGCAGCTGAGGCGCGGACAGCGGGCTGGGGCCATGTTACCTAGGAGACGCTCGAAGGTGCCGCTGCCGCGCCCCATGGCGACCCGGCCCGACCCGACGCCACGGCCTCCTTTGCTGCGAGCCGGCGCGCCCCCGACTTCCGCTTCCGCCTTGCCCTCGGGCGCGCGTACGCACGCACGCACGCACGCACGCACGCACACGTCGCCGGGCGGGCACCCGAGCAGCGAGGAGGTGGGCCTTTCTGTCTGCCCCAGACGACTGAGCGGTGGGTCGGCGGCAGTGGGCCCTAGACAAAGGCCTTCCCACACCATGTGGTCACTAAGGATTTCCCGGGGGCTTCAGACAAGGACATTCCTGGACTGTATGGGCATCAAGACTTCAGCTTTTAATATTTCCAAGTTTCTACCGCGCCCAGGAGCCAGTCAGAAACTGGTACAATGGCCACATGTCCTAATAATAAACCTTAGCTGCCAACCTGGAAACTTCAGGGTATATAGCCCCGAGTGGGGAGTCCCACTCGGGTCCGGGCTCAGCCTCTGGATGTAAATCCGCTGAGCCTGTGCTGGCATTAATAAAAGTTGCTTCCCAAGCCTTCCTGTTCTGTCTCTCTGTCTGGGATCCCCGCGACAGGACCTTGACCAATGAGCATCCCGGAGGCGAAGTTTATCCAATGAGAGCTGGGCGGAGGGCGGGCCTTGCGTCACTGTACCGAGTTCCGGGGTCGAGCCCGGCAAGCGGTCGGAATGTGTCTGCTGCTGGGAGCCACGGGTGTGGGGAAGACGCTTTTGGTGAAACGATTGCAGACTATCCTTCAGTACTGGCCGAGGGGCCCGGAGAGACTGGGGCGCCTGAGGGCGGGGGTCTGGGGCGCAGTTGGGGGGCTCCTGGTGTGACCCGGGTTAGAGGACGCAGAACGCTCTGGGGGCTGGAGCGGGAGCTGGGCGGGGTGTTGGGGTCACTGGGGACTGGAGAAGGGGCCTGGGGGTGTCGGGGGAGGCCGGGGTCGGGGTCGGGCCGCTGCCCGCCTCTTCTGTCCGGTTCGGCGTCCTTGACTGCCCCGCACAGTTGAGCTCTCAGGATGGGAAAGGCGACCTGGGCGATCCTCCCGCGACGCGGCCCACGGTAGGCGCACGCCCTCCCGCGGGTTTAGTTAGAAACGGTACCCCTTGCGGTTTGCAAAGTGCTTTGGGTTCTTTTAAGCGGAAACTGGAATCCAGTTGGTCCACGAGTTAAATGCAACCCTGGGGTTGTGAGGAGGGTGTCACCTGAGGGAGCTGGTCCCACTAGGACACAGCCGCTGTGGAGGTGGGTGCATGGTAGTGGACCCGAGCCACTCCCACTGCTGTTGCTGGTGGTCCCACAGGGCGAGTCCCACTGATGGCCACAGCCAGCCCCAGCTGAGTGGTAGGGCCCTGAACCCCTAGAAGCGTCTTTTAGCCCCTTTCATTACTGGTTTCTGCTTTAGGGCCGAAGACATTGAGACAAGAACCTGTTGGGATTTAGGTAACAGTGTAAAGGGCTGGCACTTTGCCTTTCAGGAGTTCCCAATAGGAACGTCTTGTGATCTCTGCACCGTGTTTTTCCACAGGTGGGCACCAACCTAACGGACATCCTGGCCCACAGAAAGATCACCATCCGGGAGCTGGGGGGGTGCATGGGCCCCATCTGGTCCAGTTACTACGGAAACTGCCGTTCTCTCCTGGTGGGTCATGCCTTTGAATTTTTAGGGAAGTTTGTCCCCATTTCAGTATTATCTAGTCCTCAACCTCACTTTGTGTAGGATGGAGTTTGAGTATACCGGTCAAGGGAACAGGGCCCACACCGGTTGCGTCCTTCTGGGAACCCAACCTGACCTCTAGTGCTCCTGCTCCCAAGCTAATACCGGGGTTCACTGAAGGCCTGCTGAGGGCAGTATGGGAGCGCTGCAGGTACCTGCCTGACGCCCACTGTGCCTTTTTGCCCTGGGCTTGTTTTGTTTATGCTTGAACTCTGCATCCCCCCGGTTTGCCCCATCTTGGCCTGTGCTCCAAATTCCAGGACCCTTCCTGGGAGAACTGATGGCCACATGAGGAGAGACTTCTGTGTAGGTGGAAACAGGTGACACCTGGTCACTCCCATATACCTTATTTTCTGCTGCCTGTCCCCAAAGCCCTCTGTTTAAAGTCATTTTGCAGTTCCTGAGCCAGGCCTGTGATGCCCACGGGAGATTTGGCAGGGGCTGTCCCTGTTACAGAGCAGCCCTACACTTTCTCCCTTCTCCCCAGTTCATGATGGACGCCTCCAACCCCACTCAGCTCTCTGCGTCCTGCGTGCAGCTCCTGGGCCTCCTTTCTGCGGAACCGCTAGCAGAAGCATCGGTCCTGATACTCTTCAATAAAACGTACGGCTCCGTGAGCCGAGAGGGAGGACAGGGTGCCCTGGGAGGAGCTCCCTGGGAGTGGAGCCAACAGGGGGACTCCTCAGGGAGGGGCAGCATTGGGGCTTGGAGCAGGCTTGTGCCACCCACTTTGACGAGGCACTTCTTTCCCCCAGTGACCTGCCCTGTTACATGACCACAGAGGAGATGAAGTCGTTAATCAGGCTCCCAGACATCATTGCTTGTGCCAAGCAGAGCATCACCATGGCAGAAATTAGTGCCTGGAAAGGCACTGGCCTGGCAGGGGTGCTGCGTTGGCTCCAGGACACCCACAGAACCAGCAGTTGACTTCTGGGTGGGGAATGTGGCTGGACAGCTCAGTGGCGGGAGGCAGAGGATGGCATCGCTTGGCCTCCGGCGGTTTTTTCTTATAAAGACAGGGTGACCCGTTGTAAACCTGCAAGGTGGACTCCTGTGCTGAGTTGCAGTGATGGGTAAACTGAGGCACCCAGGTTACAGAAACAGCTGACCGCTGAATGAAAAGACTTGTCTGAGCTGGGAAAGCAGGACCGGCTGCCAGATCTCTGGTCCTCCTGAGCACCCAGGGAAGCTTGGAGGTTTGGGGTTCCCTCAGGTAGTGAGAGCCCCGATGGAGCTCGTCACCAGGCCCTCAGGGCCACAAGTCCCGTGTCCCGCCGCTGCCGCGTCCTTTCATTTCAGCAGAGGGAGCTTGCAGAGCACCTGTTGATGGATGGATGTGTCCTAGGGCCGCTTAACAAGTCACCACGGACTGTGGCTTAAAACAACACGTTTACAGTCACAGCTCTGAAGGCCAGAAGTCGGAAATCAAGGTTTCAGGGGGGTGACACCTTCTGGAGGCTCTGAGAGAATCCATCCCTCACCTCTCTTCTAGTGGCCTCGGGTAATTCTTAGTCTCTCGGACTTGTAGCTGGCACAACTTCCTATAAGGACACCTGTCATTGGACTTAAGGCCCACCTATAATAAATCCAGGGTGATCTCATCCTGAGATCTGTAATTACATCTGCAAAGACCCTTTTCCCAAACAAGATCACATTTGCATGTTCCGGGGGTTATGTCTTAGATGTATGTTTTTGGGGCCACTGTTTAACTCACTACACTCTGTTAAGAAACCCTGATCCTGAGTGTGGTGGTGAGTTCTCTCCGAATAGCTCTCTCCATCTCAGCTGGCAGTTTAGGCTCCTGGGGCACGTGCTGCCTCCCGTCTGTGGAGCAGCAGGCTCCACACAGTTGCCATTCGGCCACTTTGCTGTGTGTGGGGAGATTTGTTCATGTGGGGGGTTGTAAACAAAAAATGACAATATATCTTGAACAGAGCAGCAACAATGTCCCGGAAGTTCTCTGCATATTCCGCAGGGCAACACGGGCTCAGATGGTCACTTCCCGTTAGGAGAGAGGCCCTGCGCATGCCTTTGGGAAGGTCTGTGCCTGGCTGGCTCTGCGGTGCATGGCTGGTACCACTGCTGAGTGCCACCTTCTCAGACACGCCCAGTGAATCGTCTCCACTTATGCCACTGAATAGCCCTAGACATGGCCGATCACCCCAAAGGGCTTTCAGACACCCCCAATTTCAGGGGACATCCTCTGAGCAAAGCCTGGAGAGACGCATTAAGTGTTAAAATCGCTCTGAAGCTGTAACCCGTCAGTTCTTCCACTGATGGTTTAGGAATCCCAGAAAGGGGCTTAGCACTAGGCCTGAGCTCTGTCTGGTACCTGCCCTTGAAGCCAGCAGGCAGGAAGGCCCCCCTTTACTATAAACTTCTGAATTACATAAACCATGTTTTACATATTCAAAAACAAAACAAAGGAAAACTTAAAAGCCTGAAAACAAAAAAATCTTCACTGTATATCGTTGGTACGACAACCAGAGAGAAAACCTCTTAAGGTGACATTTGAACACAGTTGGCCTTTAGTTGGGATAGGAACAAAAAGAACTGAAACCTTAAATGTCAGTATATACGTCTACTATAACACTTGGCATTAGAGCTGTTTTACGGATGCTTTAGAACAAAAGTATTTGGGAAACATTTTCAGTGGAAAAGATGCAAACAAAAACTGTAATATTACATTTTAATAGCAAATATAAACTCAGAACTTTAAAGTTACATCTGTTTTTTGATTCACGCAAAGGCCTGTTTGCTGAAATGGTGTAGAAACGACGACATCCCCGCATCGAGGAGCGTTTCTCTAACCCAGATCTTGCTTTCTAAACACCGCGCCGCACCAGAAGGAACCAGGGCCCCTCCCAGAAACCACCAACTCCTTATCTCAGGCCCGGGAAGCACACCTTGGGTCTGTGCTGAGAACCTGAAACACTCAGATGAGTGTCCAAAGACACAAGGTCTCCCACTGGTCAAAGGGAGCAAGTTAAGCTATGAGAGAACCCCCACAAAACGTAAAACAAAAACCAACTCCTGGCATTTACTGTAAACCTGTTAGAAATGCTTCCTGAAACTTGAGCCCTCTCAGTGTGGATGGTGTCACCAGTCTCCATACGTGGACCAAAGCGTTGAGTGGGCTGCACCTGCTCGGACAGTTAACAGTGGCTCCGTGAGCAGATCTAGGTGGTCTAGATGCTGGCCACTCCCCTCCGGCCTGCTGCTTGGCACCTGCTTCCAGCTGTGCTGCTCTTCAACCCAGGGGAGCCTGTGATGGGTTTAGTTGACCTAAGTCAGAGGTATCTACAGTTAATTGGTCTTTGGGGACAGGATTACAGGATTGGCCTGGGGTTGTATCTCAGCCTGGACCTGTGTGTTTAGAACAAAGATGTGGGCAGTGCTAGGCTCACAGGAATGATGCTGGCTGTCTCAACCAGGCGCTGGCCCAATCTTTGGGGATGGGGACAGGTGATGGGGCCCAGCGGGTGGTCATTCACGAAAGAGCAATCTTTAGGGAGGGAAAGAACTAGAGCCAAGACCTGAAGCTGCACCCGGGAGCTGGTGCACGAGGCTCCGGGTTCCCAGGGTATATCCAGGGACGGACTTTAGTCTGCAGGAAACGGACTTTAGTCTGCAGGCCACCTGCTCATCACCCCCCAGCCCCCACAGTGGGCAGCTCTGGTCCCTTGCTATCACAGATGCGTTTCTCGCTTTTTCCCGGAAGGGAGGCAGGCTGACTGAGTCCCCTGGCGCTGCCGCAGCTTCTTCAGTGCTCTGTAGGCCTGCACGGCCCGCTCCCTCTCCTCCGCCAAGATCCGCTGCCGGGCCAGTGAGGCGGGCAAGGGCTGGGACACACCGCCAGGGCTCAGGAGCATCTGCAGCATCAGTGGTTTCTTGCCGGGCTAAGGACCAGGGACGAAGGCATGGCACAGGTTCAGGGAGAGGAGATAACTGCCTCGGTCGGCCCCACAGCCGCGAGCCCAGTGAGAAACACACTCCCAGGTGACACAGGGCAAGCCCCCCACTCCTGCTTACCCGGCCCCTGCTTATGCTCATCCTGGGTTTGGCAGTCAGCTCAGGGGGCTGCAATGCGACCTCACCAAACTTCACCGTGTCTGGAGGGGCAGAGGAGCACAACTGAGGCCTGCTTGTCTGCCCCTCCAGGTCGCACCCAGGGCTGATAGGGTGGCCTCAGGAAGAGCTACCTCGGAGCAGCTCCTGCTCCAGCCTCTCCGCTGCCTTTTCCTCCCTTCTCTGCCGGACTTTGTCCAGTCGCCGCCTCTGGAACCTGGGGAGAAAACAATGCCATTCAGGTCACCAGGTCTCCTCCTAGCACGGCTTTTAGGGAAACTTCCCACGAAGGCTTGGGTTGGTTCATCTCAAGAGTTGTGGTTAAGGCAGAAACACATCTCAAAGCGTGCTTGTTTGTTAAAGCAGCTCCCCAGCCCCCACCGCAGGCTCAGGACGGTGACACACAGCTTCCTTCCCAGACTCCTCCAGGGCCAAGGGCAGAGCTGGGCTCCGACCTGGTGCTGGCTGTCACCCTTAGGAAGCTGATGGATCTCAGCAAGCCCGATGCCGGCCTGCTCGCTACAAGCCAGGAGCCGAGGCTGATAAGGGTCAAGGAATTTTGCAAATGACACAGCTGAAGGCCCTTGAACCTCCTCCAGACAGGAAAGGTAACACTGGGAACAGAATCCCAGTCCAGGTCCAGGGAGAGAAGGTGGCATCTGCCGAACAGAGGAGAGGAAACCCCAGAACTGTGTGTCAGCCTCACCCAGATCCCCCAGCCACAGTCCTGATTTCCACAGGGGCTGGCATGGTCCCCAGGGGCCAGCAGGCTCTCCTTGGGGGGACACTGAACTTCATCTTTTCCCTACTTTCCTAGAGCAACTGGCCTGGGCTGGACAGCTCGCCGTGACCTCCTTTGGCTCCTGGACCCAGAGAAACGCAAAGACAACGCCAGGAGCTCAGAGTTCCGTGGGTCAGAGCCTCCCTGACCCTCAGGTTAAGAAACTCGGATGTAGAGAAAAACAGTTGCCGGCTGACTAGGATGTGTAACTTCTTTCTGGGCTTTCCCTGAATCTTGGGCGGGATGGGGGTGTCCCTGGCAACAAAATGCCGTCACTGCACAAAACAATCACGGGACCCCACAGCCCTGCCTCCCCCAGTCCTCCAGCCCCCACTCACGCCATCTTCCCCTCCGACTTCTTCTTGGGAGCCGCCTGCGCCTCGGGCTGTCGGTCAGCCTGATTCTTGCTCAGGAACAGCACGTGCTGGGCCTCCTGCTCCATGCGCTGGACATAGGCCCCATCGGACTCCCACTTCCTCTGCCTGAACTTGGGGACAGCGATGTCTGAATCCACTCCCTGTGCTTCCTTCTCTAACGTCTTTCTGAAGGCCACTTGGGCTGAGGACAAAGGGAGATACGGCATGAGGGGCAGGAGGGAGTGGGTGGTGCCAGGCTGGCCACCACGCTGACTTCCCCTCCCAAGGCCGCAGGAACGGAAGACCAGGCTCAAGAGGGAGCAGTGCAACTCCAGTGGCTAAAGAGGAGCTAAGATGCCCAGCTTGGGGCACCCACAGGGATGGGTCCCCACAGCCCACTGGTACATGTCTGTCACACGGCTCCACTGGAAAAGGAAACAGGAAACAACCTAAATGTCCATCGATGGGTGACCGGTTGAATGACTTCCCCTACGGTCATCCCAAGACTTCACTGCGTGGGTACGGAAGATGGCACAACAGAGCTACTACGCACAGGGACGTGGAGAAAGCTGGAAAATCTACTGTAAGTAAAAACCCAGGACTAAACTAAGTGTAGACGAGGCATAGTTTTCTCTACGTGTAGTCTTCTCCCGGGAAGGTACACAAGATGAACACACAGCGGTATCGTTCAGGGGGAGAGCAGGATTCAGGGACAGGAAGGAAGGCTCCGCCTCACTTTATACCGTTCAGAACTGTTTGATTTTACCGTGCATGGGAGTTGATATCTTTTAAATAACCCAAACCAGCGCTCATTCAATAGAGCACGGCTCCCCCAGGCCAGCACACCTCCTCTGCCCTCCCATCTTTCCTCTTCTTTTCACGCTCCCTCTGGCAGCCACATAAACCCCAAGGAGCCTGAGGCTCACAAAGAAATTATCAAACAGCAGTGCCGTAAAAGCAGGTCTACGTTTGGGAAAACAGATACGTACACACACGAAACACAAACGATCCAGAGAGTCAGCTCTGGCCGAGGGTCACGGGTGGGCGCCGATCTGGCCTAGGGGGAGGGTGCCTCAGGGGGGGCCTTAACCCCCAGAAATCAGCCACTTCTCTCCACCATCGTTTCTGCCCTCTGGTCCAAGGAACCACCCTTTCACATCCTCTCTCTCCCTCAGCGGCAACCTGAGCCGCCCCGCCCCCACAGGTCTCCAGCCTCTTGGGAAATCACTCCTCCCAGGAGGCCCAGGTGCCTTCTGGCGCCTCATCTGAAACCACAAGGCCACCAGCCTCCGCTCTGGCCCCGGCGACACTGGCCTGTCAAGCCTCCACAGGTTCCCGCACCCTCAAGGCCACCGACACGCCATTAAATATTTGGGCGTGGAAGCTTTATTGTCACCTACGTGGGCCCGCACGTTACCCTCTTTCTTCCGCTTCTTGTTGCTGACGGGGTTTTTCATCTCCTGGCGGCTCCGCATAATCTCTCGGAGCCGGAAAGGGATTTCCTGCTCATCCTGGTTCTTGGGCTTGCAATTCACTTTCTTCTTTTCTTTGCTAAGAAGGAGAACACCGGGGTGAGACACGCCTCCCACGTCCCACACAAGCAGGATCACAGACCCCGAGGCTGGGCCTGGAAAGAGAAGCCTTGCAGACCACCCTGGCGGCTGTGGTGCGCGCCGGAGGCTGTCCCGGAAACGGGGTCTCGCAGGACGCCGGGGTGAGGGCGCTCCGACAGCCCCAGGGCGGGCCGTCGCTTCCTGACCTCGTCCAGGATGGCCAAGACGGCGCCCTGGAAGGTGAGGAGTGTCACACCGGAGACGCCTTCACGCCTCCGCTCACCGGCTGCCCCTCCCGCGCGCCCACGGCACGGACAGGGCAGGGCGCTGGGCCCGGCCAGGGGAGAGGCCGGGGCAGAGATTTCAGGGCGGTGAGACCCACCCGCGCGGCCTGGGCCACGGCGCCGAGCGCTGCTTCCCCTGCAGCTGCTGCGGCCGCCCGGGGCCTCCAGACCCCGCCGGCCGCGCAGAGGCCGAGGCTCGGCTCCCGGATCTCGCCATCCGCACGCCGGCGCTCCCGGGAGAAGCCGCTTCCGCCCTCGCGCACGGCCCAGCCCCACGACCCACTTCCGCTTCCTGCGCTCAGCCGCACGCCCTTCGGGGCGGGGCAGCTCTATGCCGGGCCGCGATTGGCCAGGGTGGCTGAGGCTGGAGAGCGCAGGCGCCCTGGGCCGGGCTGCGGGCGATGCTGCTGCGGAGCGTGGCCCGGGGAGCCCTGGCGGTGGCCGCAGGTCCCGGCTGCCCGGTAAGTACCTGGCAGGGGCGGGGCCGCGCTCGGGAGGCCGGGGCCGGCAGAGACCGGAGAAGCACCCCTGCCTGGCCTCCCCGCCTCCATGGGACCGCGGCTGCAGCCACCGCGCCTCGGGCGGGCAGGACATCCTGCGGACGTCGCCTCCTGTCCGTTTTGCCCTCGCCAGGCACTGCGCCCGGTCTTCGAGAAGGGCCGTTCTGCCAGTGGGCGGAGCCCCGGGATCGTACCAGCCGCGCTCTGAGCTCCGTTCACTCGTTCCGGAGTGCCTGTTGAGCGCCTGCTACGTGTGAGCCCTTTGTGCAAGGCACAGTGAACGCGGGCCTGATGCTCCTCTCAGGAACTAGAGAAATAAGTAAAGTCTGGGCTGTGTCAGTCAGTGTTCAGCGCCCTGAGACACATAGAGCAGGAAAGGGAGCCCTGGGGCCCTGCTGGGGCTGAAGGAGGTGGGGAGGGCTGCCCTCAGGCCTTTGTGGGGTGACCTGGGACGCCTGGGCTTCTCATGTGATGGAGGGAAGCAGGGATGCGATTAGTCAGATGGTGAGAGGGGCAGGGCACAGCTGTGCTGGTGGGACAGGGAGAGATGGCTGTGTGGCCAGGAGCTCCTGGCTTCCAACCCCCGCCCCATCATCCACGGGGCAGCACCATCTTAGCTGGAGGTGACAAGGTTCCCCTGACCCCACCATCTGCTGGAAGGCATGCCTAGCGCCTGGCCCTGAACCCAGCACTTTTCATGAGTCACGTCATCCTCATACCCACCGTTACATCCATTTTGCAGATGGGAAACTGAGTTGAGAGGTGAAGGAACTTGTATAAGGTCACACAGGAAGGGAGGAAGCTGAGAAGGACATGGAGTCCCCTGCCAGTGATAGGAGGCTGAAATTTCCCGGGGCTGGGGGCAGGTGAGGCCTTACCAGCTTCCTGAAGACTCATAGGCTTGTCTGCATTCGTAGGGGCCACGCCGACTCTCCGGCTGGGACTGGTGCCAAAAGCTTCCTGGAGGCGACAGCATTCTGCACAGGTACCATGGCCAGTCCCCAGTCCACGAAGGCCGCAGAATGTTCGGGAAGGACCATGTGGAGGGGGACTCCCAAACAGGTGCAGATGGCACCCAGCAACCCACGTCCTCCCTGCCCGGTGGGGGCCCCGCAGAACGCCCATACCCCCCGCCACCCGAGCTGCAGCCCCCCACAAACTGCTGCCTGAGTGGCTGCCCCAACTGCGTGTGGGCAGAGTATGCAGACGCACTGCTGCAGCACTACCAGGATGGAGGGGAGCGGGCCCTGGCCGCCCTGGACGAGCACGTGGCTGATGAGACCCTCAAGGCCTTCCTCAGGATGGAGATCCGGCTCCGCATGCGGGAAGGAGGCTGAGCCGGCCTGGCGGGACTCCTCCCCGACAGGCTCCAGCCCCGCAGCTCCTCTCCCTGTAGCCCCTTCGTGGGGCTTGTGGCGGAGGGAATAGGAGGAGTTATTTATTGACTTAATCTGAGAATAAACAAGTTCTCTGGTGGTGAGACGGAAGGCTTCTGTGTTGTCTGAAAGTCTTGTGGTGCCTCGTCAAAGAAAGGCGCAGGTTGTCATCAGGTCTTCACTGAGCACCCAGAGCCTTCACCAACCTGTGAGGGGGGAAATAAGACCACGTCCTTGACTCTTCAGCTGGCAGTGACCCCAAGGGCCCCCTTCTGTGTCCCAGCATCCCAGAAGTCCCGCCCAAAGGTCAGCCGTGGTTACTAGCAGTGCAGCAGAGGGAGGACCAACTGGTCCCTTGAAGTTGCTGTTGGCAGAGCCCTTGGCAGGCATGAACGCCCCCAGACAGCCTGGGAGGTATCCCGTTTGTCCAGCTGCAGTCAGTCCCCAGCTGCTGGGGTCCTTTGCAGACACCCATCCGCCAGCCAGGTGGAAGGCCACAGATCAGCTTGCGGAGGCCTGAGCTCGTCTTAGCCCACTTGGCCACAGTTCCCCAGGCAGAAGGAACAGGAGCTCAGGCATTAACCCTAGAACCAGCACCCTGGCACCAGCCTGGTCCTGGGCTGCAGACCCGGCCACGGGAGCATTGGCCCAAGTAGGACTTTTATCTTAGGGCCCTCACTGCCCATCCCCATCTCCTGCTCCCCATCATCCGTGGGAATTTTCCCAGCTCATCCCTTTCTCTTCAGCAGTTCCTCTCTGGTACCAGTGGCCTGGACAGGATAGGGCTTAAACGAACTTATGCCAGTTTTACGTCCTCATTTAAGGGAAAAGCTGAGGTGGTAACATGCCTTCACAAGGGATTGGAGCTGACCAGCAGGCCTTCCCTTTAATGTGAAGGCAGCGATTCTCACAGAGAGGTCTGGACAAGAGGCGGAAACCAGCCAGCACTGGTGCCGTGCTAGTGCCGCTCGCGTCTCCTGCTTGTCCACGCTGTCGTCTCGCACGGCTAACGCGTGTCATCCAGAAGCACTCAGGGTTTAGGCTGGTTCAGAGAAACATGTTTTAGCGACACGTATTTATTAGACTCTCTCTCAGAGGGCGTCCACTCCGACCCTGTCCTCATAAAGATTTGAAAATGGCCCAGGAAGAGAGATTTTCCCCAGAAATGGCAGCAAGCAGAGCCCGGTGCACTGTGGTGTCCTGCTGCAAGGGGCACACGACGCAGCGGTAGTTTATCTCAGATATAGGGAGAGCTTTGCTGTATTTTTCTCAAAAATATGAATTTACAGGAGGAATATGTGTGTATATTCCCGGGGTTTACACGTGTCTATGTATGTATGCATACATACAAACATCCCACCCAGTGGACCCTATGAAATGAGCCTTATTTTAGAATTCAGGTCATGGCAAAGACCCTTGCAGTGTGACATCCCCAAAGAGAAGCCACTGGTCTTGCCCCTTGCAGTGGGGCAGGCCCCCACCTAGATGTAAAACATGGTCAAGGATGCCTGCGCAGTGTCAGCACAAAGCTCGCTGAGGCTAGCCTGCGGGGGCGGGCCTTGTCTTCATTCAACCCACAGGTATTTCCTGACCATCTGCGACATACTTGGCACTGGGCTAGACACTGCGACCTGGTAGAAACCTGTGTGCCCTATTCCACTCTAGTGTGGAAGACAGGTTAACAGGACTTATCCAACCTCACACCTGTCAGAATGGCCATCATCAAAAAATCAACAAACAACAAGTGTTGGCAAGGCTGTGGAGAAAAGGGAACCCTCATGCACTGTTGGTGGGACTGCAGATTGGTACAACCTCTATGGAAAACAGTATGGAGGTTCCTCAAAAAAGTTACAAATAGAACTACCTTATGACCCAGTAATTCCTCTCCTGGGCATTTATCTGAAGAATTCCAACAAAACACTAATTTGAAAAGATAGATGCACCCCTTTGTTCATTGCAGCATTATTTCCAATAGCCAAGATATGGAAGCAACCTAAGTGCCCATCAGTAGACAACTGGATAAAGAAGAGGTGATACATATATACAACGGAATATTACTCAGCCATAAAAATGAATGAAATCTTGCCATTTCTGACAACATGGATGAACCTAGAAGTATTATGCTGAGTGAAATAAGGCAGACAGAGAAAGACATACCATGTGATTTCACTTATATGTGAAACTTAAACAAACAAACAAAACAAAATAGAAATGGACTCTTAGATGCAGAGGACAAACTGACGGTTGCCAGAGGGGCGGGAAGCGGAGGGATAGGTTAAAAAGGTGATAAAGAATAAGAGGTACAAACTGCCAGTTATACATTAAGTCATGGGAATCTAATATACAGCATAGGACAAATAATTTAATAAGTTCGTATGGCGACAGATGGTTAACTAGACTTACTGTGGTGATCACTTTGTAAGGTATATAGATGTTGAATCACTATGTTATATGCCTGAAACTGATAGTATAATATCATATGTTAACTACTTTAATAAAAAATTTACAAAAAGAATTATCCAAACATGACCACGTGGTAAGTGTGATGAAGGAAAGTCCAGCTACCATGAGATCTATGAGATAGGCGTCCTGGTCTAGCCTAGGGGGAGAGGTGGGGCGCCCTAAGGAAACAATACTGGAGCAGAGCTCTGAAGTCCCTAGGGGGAAGGGGAGCAGCGGGTGCAAAGGCCCTGGGGTGGAAGGGGCTCCTTGGAGCACATTAAAGAGAAGGCCTGTTTGTCAGCTTAAATCCCTTGTGAAAGGGCAGGATGAAAGGTGAGGCCAAACAAGTGGATAGGAGCCAGACTACACATGGCTTCGGGGGCCATGAAGGTAGGTTCTTCGGAAGTCAGAGGTGCTGAGAGGTGGGGAGGCCCGAGATAGCAGCCACTGCTGTTTCGTCTTCGGTTCAAATATGAGTGTCTTCAGGAAAGAGTCCTGCACTTCTCGCTGGTCACGATCCCACCTTCCCTCCCTGTCCTGGCCCCGTCCCTGGCCCTGGCTCTGGCTCGTCTTTTCCTCAGGTCCTTGACTGCACCTGAGCCCTTTCACCATCCCCTGGGATCCTCGGTGGGGGTGCCCGCCTGAGTGGCCCTGACAATCTCATTAGTGTGGCGTCCGGACGTCCTAATCAGCTTACCCAGGAGCAGGATAAATGCCCAGCTGACGCCTGGTGAGAGAGGCCTGTCCACTCACACCCATGGCCCCCTGAGACTTGCCCCAGTGCTTGGTGAGTACTGACCGTCCCTGGTTGCCTTTCCTGGTGGCCACTTACCCAAGGGTGTTAGAGAGCGTCTGCCCAGAGGGTGGGGAGCTGCTGGGCTTTTCACCACCACGCTGAGGCCGGGGTCTGCAAGAGTTTACCTACCACCCTCTTCTTCAGAGGGGACTCCCAACTGATCACTTCCTCTGCTCCCCCAAGTCAAACAGTGGAGCTGGCTATCCAGTGATGGTCTGGGAGCCTCAGGCCACATGCATTCAGTCAACTGGAGTGGGCACCAGCCATAGGCAGGACTGGGGCGGGCAGCTCGGGCAGTGGTCTCCATGGAGACATCTGAGAGTTGGCACTCCATCAAGGCTCAGAGCTGCCCACGGAAGGCGCATGGCCCAGGACTGAGGAAGGGGTCTGGCTAGCCTACACCGTCTGGGCTGTGAGGAGTGGGTGTCGGTCTGAACGGCCAGGACCACCAGGCCTGCTGCGGTCCACCTTGGACCCCTCCTGGTGCGGGCATAGAGGCTTAACCTTAGGGAGGGATGGTCCATGGAGGGGTCCACCCCAATCCCAGGCCCCTGGCGCCCACCACCAAGTCCTCTTTGTCAGGGGGACCACCTGTCCTCGCCTCCCACTTGGTCTCAGGTCTGATGCTCTAGCAGGCAGCTGTCGGCAGCCCAAGGCTTGAGTCAGGCCCTTCAACCCACCAGATGGGAGTGTGTGTGTGTGTGTGTGTGTGTGTGTGGAGTTGGGGTGCGCAAGAAAGGGAACCCAAGAGATGGTGACTGGAGCGTTCAGTGCGGGGGGGGGGGGGGGGGGGGGGGGGGGCAGTGGTTCCTGTCTGTGTCATGTGCTTAGCCCCCCAGTGGCCCTGAGGGATTAGTCTCCCTCTGGTGCTAATAGGCTTAGAGGAAGCTGAGCTGCCATTGACCTTGCCAAGGTCACCAGGGCTCAGGGCGTTTGGGGAGAGGCTCTGGGGGAGGGGAGGGGAGGTCACCCTGTGCAGTGGTGTAAGGACACCAGCAGGTGACATTGGCGTCCAGAGCGGGCTCCAATCACAAGTGAGCTGCCCAGCAGAGGGAAGACCCCACTGGGGTGAAGGTTCCTCAGCTCAGCTCAGCGTCTCTGCGACAGGCCGCTTCCCTGCCCCAGCACCCTGTCTCCGCATTTCTCAGTTCCTTCTTCGTTGACACTGCTGGGTGCCCCAGGAATGCCACCATGAATGAGACCTGAGTGTCCCAACCCCTGAGGATTGGGGAGGGGAGCACAGAAAAGGAGACACGTGAAGAGGGGTATACTTGGGGGGCCATCCAGCACTCTCACCCCCTGCCTGGCCCCAGTGGAGCCCCACATGGAGTCTCAGGATTTGGGGTTTCCTCTGCTCTGGTGGGTTGAAACCAGTAGGAAGTCTGACTGAGACCCTCTCTCCCCCAGTCTGCCCCCAACCCACAGCGTGAGGGAGTCCAGAAGCCAAACGTCACCACAGGGTCTCTGCCAGCTTGGCCATGAACCTGGAGCTGCCCAAGGCCGAGATCCGGTCGGCCACCAGGGTGATTGGGGGTCCTGTCACTCCCAGGAAAGGGCCCCCAAAATTTAAGCAGCGGCAAACCAGGCAATTCAAGAGCAAGCCCCCCAAGAAAGGCATCCAAGGGTAAGCAGAGCTGGGGAAGGGGTGCCTCTGTGAGTTGTGAGCGGATGGGAGGGTCCAGCCCCAGGCTGCACAGCAGGGAGGTGCAGCTGGGAGCTCAGCACCCTTTCCTGGTTGAGGGTGGTCCCATCGTCCTAACAGAGTTCTTGAGGGCCTGAGCAGGGCCTGTCTCAGGGCCCCCCAATTCCCCAGCATGGGAGGCAGGAGAGCCTCCAGGAGGCTCCTGTCACTCTCTCCAGCTGTTATTGCCAAATAGGCCTGGAAAGCACTGCCACCTAGAGACTAAGTCATAGCCCGCCGACGTGGGTCCCCGCACACACACAGCCCCACATACGCACCCAGGGCGCACTCACCGCCCCACGTACGCACCCAGGCATACTCACAGACAGTCCACACTCAGGAACCTGCACTCACATGCAGACACCCCCCCCCCACTCAACCCACTCCACTGTCTTCCTGGCCACCGCCCTGACCCCTCTGTTCTTGCAGGTTTGGGGATGACATCCCTGGAATGGAAGGCCTGGGAACAGGTATGATGACTGGTAGGGTCCACATGGGTTCCCCCACTCACCCACCCACCAGCGTGCGGGGGCCCAGCCTCGCCCTGCTTTCCCAGGCTCACTTAAGGTGCAGCCCCCAGCCTGTCCTTCATTTCCTCTCCAACATCAAGCATCACATCCCCCTGAAGTGGGGTTGTTCCCACACTGTGGGGTGCTTGGAGGGGCTGGAACAGAATGAGCCCTTCTGTCCCCCTTTACCCAGCAGCAAGGCACACCTTCTTCCATCTCCTCCCTTGGGCCTGCTTCACTCACTCTCTTCTGGGCAGAATGTCCCGGGAGAAGGGTCTTCCTCCAGGACTTGTACCCTCAGTACTTGGGGTGTGGACAACAGAGCCCCAAGGGGATGGTGGGGCCATGGGATCCTCCTGGACACACTGGCCCCTCTCTCCCACAGACATCACGGTCATCTGCCCGTGGGAGGCCTTCAACCACCTGGAGCTGCACGAGCTGGCCCAGTACGGCATCATCTAGCAGCAGACCTTGTCCAGGTCCCCCGATGCTCCCCTCTGCCGCCCACCCCGACCCCTGTTTAGGATCCTTGTGAGGAGGCCTGCCCCTCCAACAGTGTCCAGATTGCCAGGTTTTGTTTGAAGACCCTCGAAGGGCGACAACCTCAGGTCCCCAGATACCAGGCGCCCACCACCTTCCTATAGGATGCCCTTTTGGGGCTGGCCAGGCCCTGCTTAACTTCCAGAGACACTGGCCCGCATTTGCTGACTCCATTTCACAATAAAATTATGTGCCCCCACTGACCCATCTGGGGTGTGTTGGGAGTTGGGACGAGGCCCGAGTGTGTGAGTGGCTCCGCAGGAGTGTATGGGTGGAGACACAGGGCGGTGGGGGTGGCAGGGGCCTGTGCCAAACTGTCCCTAGCTGCAGCCATCGTCCAGAAGCTGCCAAGTACTCTTCCACGTGGGCCAGGTGGAGTGACCAGACGGTGATTCTAGGGAAGGGCCCTCTGTGACCCCATTTATGTGACAGCCAGAAGGGCCACCCTAAGGGAAGATGATGGAGCTGAAGCAGAGGTGACTGCAGGGAGGGGACGGGGGAGCCTGCTGCGGCAGGATCTTGACTGGGTGGTGGGTCCACAAGTGTTTAGATAGGTATGACTTCCTCCTGCTGTCCACTTGAGACCCATGCGATTTTATTTTTTTAAAGATTTTATTGGAGAATTGGGGGAGGGGAACAGCGTTGGGGAATCCGGAAAGGGGAACAGACAAGTTGCTGTCTTTTTGCTCTTCAGTCTAGTTGTGGAGGACGTTGCTTCACTGGCCCAAGTTCGTATTATCATTGCGCTCTTCCCGGGTGAGGCAGTCGCTCGCCGGCCATTGGACGGCCACTCACGGCGGCTCACTGCAGCCTACACCGTTCTGGTGACTCACAGCAGCCCAGCTCCAGGTCGAGTTGTTGTTCACCATCTTATCTGTAGAGGGCGCAGCGTCACTGGCCCTCATGTGGGATCCGAACCAGGGACCTGCTGCTCAGAGCTGGCGTCCCAAGTCAACTCTTAACCAACGCACCACTTGGCCAGCCTGAGACCCGTGCGATTTACTGTATAAGTGATACATCAGTAAAATTTACTCCCCCCCCAAAAAGCCTTCTGGAGAGAGAGGCCTGGGCCTCAACCCCAACCACCACAATGGACAGGAAAGGGGAAGGTGGCCTCAGAGGAGGGCAGGTGGGCAAGCTGTCAGGACAAGGGGTCTCAGGCGTGGGGCTCTGAGGCGGTCATTCCATGGTTGGGAAATGGGTAGGAGGTGGTTGCAGGTGAGGGTCTGAGGGTGGTCTCAAAGGCACTGCCCCACATGGTCATCCTGGTGGGCATCGGCAGGTGGGTCTCAGGCTGGGCCCTCAGGCGGGGCCTCAGAGGCTGGGGTCGTAGTTGGGACTTCTGCAGCAGGATTTTCATCCAGCTCTCCTTCCAACCACGTGGCCTCTCAGGCACCCTCTGTGGGAGGCAGACGCTGCCAGGCAGCGGCCAGTGGGTGAGCCTGCATTCAGACCACACTGGTTTGCAAGTGAGGGGCCAGTGCTAGTTGGCGGTCTGGGGGCAAAAGCCTCTGAAAGAGCAAAATCAGACTGCGGCTGGGCCTCAGGGAAATAGCAGAACTGGGTAGGAGGTGGGTAGCCCCGCCCTCGGGAAAAGGGACGTTGGGGGCGGGAGGCACAGTAGGTCGGGGAGGCCAGGTGTCCCAGGTGCTTGTCCATAGTGTCCCATGAGAGACTCTCACACTTCCCTTGGGAGGGCAGGGGAGGCCTGCAGCTCTCCACCTCATTCGGGTGCCCCCGACCTTTGTTCCACCTGCCGGTCAGCCCGGGGCCAGCTTGGCTGGGGGCCGGTCACAGGGGCCATGGCTTGGGTGGACAGGCCCAGCCGCTCCTCCCAATCCGGGGCTCTCCGCCGCCCCCTTGCGGACAGCCAGGGCCTTCACCAGCCGCGTGGCCAGCAGGAGCTCCGCCCCCTGGACCACCACCACCGCGATCGCGAAACCGCCCACCGCCCGGACGTTCCTGCGCAGCCACCGGCGGAGTGGGGCGCCGCAGCCCTCCAGGTGCACGACGCTCTGAGCGGCATCCTCATCCAGGCCCAGGGCCCCAAAGCCGCACTGGTCGTTGATAGACGCTCCATCTTCCCGGGGGTTGATGCAGCAGGAAGCGGGAAGGCTGCAGGCCTGGATCCCCGCGGAGCTGCAGTTAAAGTACCTGCGTGGGTGGGAGGGGGCACGGGCTGTGAGTCCGGAGGGCAGCGGCTGCCATTCCGGACCCTACGCTGTGACGGATGTCTCCTACCCACCGTCACACTTCCATGGCACACACATGCATAGGCACACAAACGTGCATAGGCAGGCATGAATGCACATGCATGCTGCACACACGCACAGAGGCATGAATCCACATATGCACAGGTACACACACACACACATACACACAGTACCCAGCTTTCCATAACTGATCCTGGCACCGTGGGTGCCCTCTGTACATGCAGGCAGGCGTAATAGCTTCTTGGCTGAAAGGGATGTAGTTGGCGAGATGGTGGAGGAGCCTTGCTGGGTACATGATGCTGAGTTGGTGTGAGCCGGCCAAGCTAGAGCAGGAGAAGGTGGGCTGAGGCCTGGCAGAGGCCTCCATAGTGGTCAGTGTGCCATAGCAGGGACATGAGGGGCAGCACTGGGCAGTGACAAGAGGTGGGAGGCTTGAGAGGAGCTCCTAGGACTGAGAGGGAGTGGTGCTCTCGTCACAGCCGGGTGCCTTTGGCCTTCGACGTGTGTCCAGGGCCCTGAAACCTACAGGTTTGCCCCTCGCGCTCCCTCCCAGGCACTGTCTCCTGCCCCGGAGGAGTGGGCCTCACTAAGGTAGGGGCTCGAAGGCCAGCAGGATAGGTGGCTGTGACTCCACAGGGGGCTGCCCCCAGTCCATGGTCACACGCAGCCACCAAACGAGAATAACACATGTATGCTTCGAGAGTGCCTGGTGCAGGAAGGGGCCCAACATGTTTCAGTGACTGTTGGGTACAAATCTTCAGTTTTCAAGAGTCCCCATGTGACTCCATCTCTTGTGGTCAGGTGCCCAGAAAGGCCCAGGGGAGGGACATGTCCTATCCGTCGTAGGGGTCACATGGAGTGCAGGTGCTGCTGTGGGTGTCTGCACATGAGGGACAGATGACAAAACAGGTATCCTTGAGCAGAATGGGAAATGTACCATGGTGTATTCCTAAACAGACAATGCTTGAACTCACGCACAGACACGCACTCATCCACGCCTGCACACACATGTGCACTCACACACACAGTAGAGGGAGAGTGCCCTGAATTAACCTAAAAGCTATTTTCATTTGACATTGAGGTGTTTTGTAGGATGTCCTTACCTAAAAAAACCCCAAAAGTGACTTTCTAAGTCTGCTGGCTGAGCCTCTCCGTTAGGGTTCCCACATGTCCACCTGGTCCTGGCTGGGCCCGAGCATGTACGTGTGGGTGTGTGCACACATGCGAGCGCGTACACGTTGTGGTGTGTGCATGGTGTGTGGCTGCCCGGGGCCGCCCTCCTCCCTGTCGGCTGCAGGACTCACAGGTTCTGCTGCCAGTCCTGGTAGGAGGCGGCTCCACAGCACTGCAGCCCCAGCTGCACTTGGTCTATGAGGAACTGCAGGTCGGGGTCGTCCTGGTAGTGGGTGATGGCCATGCGCAGGGCGTGTTCCAGGCCGTCCTGCAATGGGCCCCAGAGCGCCACCACCAGGGCCCCCACCACGGCCTCCAGCACCAGAAAGGCGAGGAGGCCCCCAGAAAAGCAACGCAGCAGGCAGGCATTCTCACAGAGGGCGCCCAGGCAGCCTGCCAGGCTCACCACACTGACCGCCAGCCCCCCCAGCACCAGCCCCAGCATGGGGTCTGCAGGCAGGGGGCCCCCCCAGCTACTCCCCAGAGACCCCTTGACTGCCAGGCCCCAGAGCCCAATGGCCAGGGCCAACAGGCCGAGCAGAGAGAAGAGGAAGTTGGACAGAAAGGTCAGACACTTGAGGCAGCTGCTTCCCCAGGGAAGGGTGGGGGCCTGGCCTCCCCCAAAGCCTGTCCTCTGCGCCCATTTCTCCCAGGGCGCTGGACCCAGGTGGCTTGAAGTGAGTGGGCTGCTCCTGGAGAGGGGTGGCTCCTGGCCCCCAGCATCCTGCAGAGAGAGGAGGCAAGGGGGTGGGTCTCAGCAGTGGACCCCATCGCAAGGGGTCAGAGCCTGCAGGGGGAGGGAAGCCGAGTGGTGGAGGGCGAGGGGGGGCTCAGAGACCCCAGACAGCCAGGGACATGGAAGCTTCCGGGCGTGTCCTGGACGCGTTGCGGGTCCTAGCGCCTTTGGAACGGCATGGCTGCACCATGCAAGTCCACAGTGGAGACTGAGCAAGGCAGCCGCAGAAATGCGTGTTCTGCAAAAGCACACCTCCCTGCTCCCCTCTGCATTTTTGTGACGAAAGATGTGGTTCAAACACAAGAGCAAGGCCGGTCACATTTCAGAGTCCTAACAGGGTCCTGGGTGAGGTTACGTGCTTGATTAGTAAAACCGCACCCCAGTCTTAGCAGCTCCTATGGGCCTTGGGGCTGGGGACATCTCCAACCCCCTTGAGGTCACGAGGGTGCTGGCTTACCTGGGACAGCAGGGGGCTCTTTTCCCCTTCCTCCATCCTCCACTAGGACAGGTGCGCAGGTCCCCTGCCCTGCCACTCTGGCTGGGACACCAGGGCTGGTGCTGCCGTGTTCCCGGCCACTCTGGGAGCTGTGAGCCCCAAGCCTGGTGAGCTGTGAGCCCCACCGTGACACCACAGTCACGATGGGATCATGTGAGGAATCACGTTTAGGGCTCAAGACAGCCTCTGCTTGTTCAGTTGCAGACGATCTTGCTTCTTGGGCCAGATTCTCGGCCTCGCTGTGTGGACACACTGAAGCTCTGTGCAGGTTCCACATGGTGGGGCTGTTAGGGTGCTGGCCCTACGGCCATCACTACAGGGCCCCAGTGTGGGATTCAGCCCAGCAGTTTCAGCAGCTGCTCCACCAGCTCACCCAGGGACAGACCCCTGCGGCCCCAGGTGACCCACCTGCAGCTAAATGTTCATTTACTCCCCCAACTTATTATTCTCTGTAAGAGACAATATCCACCGGTCAGGTGTCCTCTCTCCTGGTTACGAGGTACCTGTGGTCCGGCACCTCTGAGTTTCTCAGGGGCAGGACTTTGTCACGGTCTCCATTATGCCCAGTGTCTGAAGGACGCCGGCCATGCAGCCACCAAGCAGAAGGTGTGCTTGAAGCTCTCTGAGCTGCAGTGTCCGGTCCTCTCTCCCGGCTTGGATGGCGGCGGGGAGGAAGGCTCAGAGCAGATCCCCACCCACCACCAGCTCTGCCAAACCATGGGCACAGGCCGGCCATGCCGCCCTGTCCCCTCTGAGATGTGTGCGAGGTTGTGATGTGTCGTCAAAGCTGTCGTTGGCTTTGGGGACCTCTGGAGGTCGCAGGGCGCAAAAGCTATGAGGACTCCTCTGCATGTGTGTTTTCATGGCAGGAAAAAGGGTGGCCTCCTGGGCTATGGCCCAGCCTGCCCCACCACTGTGTTCCTCGGCTTCTCTTGTTTGGCACTCAGGCCCCAGCCTCGCTTCACCAACCTACTCACCTACCACTTTACAATTTAGCCACACGGGCTGCTTGCTGACCCCAAACCTTGGCACTCGGGTGCCCCTGAAATCGTCCTGTGCCCAGTTCCAGACCACCTCCTGCCAGGGAGCAGTGGTCTCTCCTCTCTGAGCTTCTGGATCACTTTTCATCTTTATTCTAATGTGGTCAGTTTACTCTGTTCAGTAGTTAGCTGTGTCTTTGCTCCGTGTACCCCACTAGCTTCCCACAGGGCCACCATCCGACTGAGCCCAGCTTAAATTCCTGACCTGTAGGATGCCAGCAGAGTAAGTGGTGGGTTTTTTTCTGTTTTTGTTTTTTTTTTTAGCTGAGCCATCCTGCCACCTGTTGGTAGCCCAGCGGCAGCTCAGCTCGGGCCGGGCATTGAACTGCTGTTGCTCAGAGCTCGCACTCTTGAGCGAGCTCTTAACCAACTAAGCCACTCGGCCGGCCTCAAGTGGTGATTTTTTTTAAGCCACTACGCTTTGGGAGGGTTCATTACACAGCATTGTCTTGATGACTGAGGCAGGGTTTATTATATGTCAGGGACTGTTCTGAGCCCTGGCAACATAGCAGGAAGAATACCTGACAATTCCCAGTCGTCAGAAGCTTCCGTTCTAGCACAGGGGAGTCATAAAGCAAGCGTGGAGGTAAATTTACGCTATTTCATATGGCCATAAGAATTACGGGGCAAGCAAAGGAGGATGAGTGATGGTGGGGTGGCAATCAGCGACGGCCTCACTGTAAGATGTCTGGCTCCCATGAGAGACCCAAAGTAACTGAAAACAGGGACTCAGACAAGTACTGGACAGACATATTCACAATTGCCAGAGGGTGAAACAACCCAGAGGTCCATCAGTGGAGAACAGATGAAACAAATGTGGTCTATCCACGCAGTGGAATATTACTCAGCCACGGACACTCGCTACAACTTGGAGGAACCTTGAAAACACGATGCTCAGTGAGAGAAGCCAGTCACAAAAGTCCACATGGTGTGTCATTCCATTTATATAAAATATTCAGAATAGGTAGAGCCATAGAGACAGAGTGAAGACTGCTGGTTGCTGGGGTTGGGGAAACAGGGAGTGACGTGCCTGAGGCGGGAGCAGGCCTGGGATGTTTGAAGGGTGGCTGTTGCCTTACAGCTACCTCCACGACCGGCCCTCCCACCCCCCCCAGCACTAACCCCTGACCTAACGAGGTCCTGAGGAAGTGTCTCGGAATGCTGAGACCCGGTGGAATGATATCGGTCAAACCTTATCATGAACAACACGCCCTCCCACCCCCCCCAGCACTAACCCCTGACCTAACGAGGTCCTGAGGAAGTGTCTAGGAATGCTGAGACCCGGTGGAATGATATCGGTCAAACCTTATCATGAACAACACGCCCCTCCAAAAAAAAGTAGATATGGCCGAAGATTACAAGATATAATTGGCCTCCTAATTGGCCTGTAGTGGAGGATACTCGACCTTCGGCACCTCCGATGATTAAGATGTCTAATCTCTCATTTCAACCAGCCCACCCGAGGCCAACCGCTCCTTCAGCTTTTTGTGTAATTACTCCACAAACAAAAAGTGCTCCTCTACCTACTTGGGGTCAATTAAAAAGGCTGGCTCAAGTAGGTGAACATCGACTGTCAAAAGAAAGCACTCCAAAAACAAAGACCAACATGCTAGTATCTATGATGGCAGTTCTTGCTATTCTAAGTTGTTTTCCAATTGGTGTTGCTGCCGATAATTTTACTTATTGGGCTTACATATCCAATCCTCCTTTGCTAACTCCTGTAACATGTAATGATGATCCTCCTCTGATTTATCTTCATGATAGCTGGGACAAGAATCAATCTCAAATTCATTGGGAGAAATGTCATGAAAGTATAGAGTAATAATTAATAATTCTTATAAAACTATCGTAGATTGGGGGTCCCTTTGGGACTGCCATTCATGCCTGTTCCCATAAAAAATGTTCAAAACTTCAACAATTAAGGGAACAGATTTAGCATTTCTATTTTTTGGAAGGATAGGGCTCTAGCCCCACCTCAATTAAGGATGATTAGACCCATTCGGGGTCCATTTCAAAGGACCTTATAAAAAGTAGCTTTAAGTATTGGACCTAATAATATATATATAAAAAATCTTACTAAAAATACCAATAAAAATTTCACTTTCTGGTTTAAAAAAACAAAAAGTATATATGTACAAGTTTGTCTTAAAAATCCTTTTGTTTTCTTGACAGGAAAATTTACTATTAATCAAACTGCAAAATTGGTTAAATGCCCTCATTGTCATTTATATACCTGTCTTAATTCCTCTATTTTTGGGACTTCCTACAACCAGATTATGATACTCAGGCGAAGACGTGGACTATGGCTTCCCGTTCAAGCCTCGAGGGTATGGGAAGTTTCCCCAACTGTTCATATTATTTTACAAATTCTTCATAAGATCTTACATAGAACTAAAAGGTTTATTGGCCTTTTGATAGCAGCAATAATGGGTATAATAACTATAACCACTATTGCTGCTGTCTCTGGAGTGGCTCTTCACCAGACGGTGCAGACTACTCAAATTGTACAACAATGACATAAAAATACAAGTAAAGCTTAAAATCAACAATTGAGAGTTGATCAAAAAATCAACATACGGTTGGCTGATGTAGAAACAACTGTTGTTTCTCTTGGAGATCATTTAAAAAGTCTCCGAACTATGATCACTTTAAAGTGTGATTAAAATATTTCCACTTATTGTGTAACTCCTTTTTCTTACAACCAGACACATACTCCATGGTCTGAGGTACGAGCTCATTTTTTGGGACATGTGCCCAACCTGACTGTAGATATTCTGCAGTTGCAACAAGAAGTGGGTCAGATGTCATCTGCGAATCTCCAGCTCCTCCCCGGAAAGGATGCCCTTTCCGCGGCTGCGGAAGGATTGTCTACTCTGAACCCACTCACATGGATGAAAAACCTCGGTGGAGGTTTTTCTGGTGCTTTTGCACTCCTATTAATCATTCCATTTCTGTTTTGTCTAGTCGTCCGATGTGAACAACAAGCCCTCTGGCGGCCCATAGATGAAGAAACTGCAAAGTCCGTGTTTCTCCTTCTACAAAAACAGAAAGGGGGAGGTGTTGCCTTACAGCTATGTCCACGACCGCCCCCTCCCCCCACACACTAACCCCTGACCCAAAAGGTCCTGAGGAAGTGTCTCGGAACGCTGAGACCCAGTGGAATGATGTCGGTCATCTCCCTTTGTTTGTATAGGACGCGGCACAATGGCGCTGTCCTGGGGGTTGTGCAGGGTGTGTGAAGGCGCAGTACATATTGGAGTACCATGGGAGCTGGTCAATGGAAAACAGCCTTAAGGCACGTGACACAGGGATCTTTGAGTAATGCAGTTTCACTTCCTTTGAAATTTTCTCAATAAAAGCCATGTGAAGACCCGATTCGGGGCTCAGTCCCCGAGGCTGATGCCCCCTGGTCCCGCTTGAGCCTTATCTCTGTCTCTTGTGCTCTTTCACTCTGTGTCGCCCTCTCGCTTCCCATGGCCCTTGCCACGCAGGACGTGACAGGTGGCTGTTTTCAGATTTTGCTCCCAGTGAGACGGGAAGATGAGGGGTGCCGAGTCAAGGCACGTCGTGACCTGACTCACGCTTTAAAAGGACACTCACGATGGCTGCGCTGGGGGCAGAGGGTCAAGGCAAGCGTGAAAGCTGGACATCAGACATTGTGCTGTCCAACTCACTCACCTCTTCTCCAAAGGTGACAAAGGGCTCTATCTTGTTTCTGCTGTATCCTCCGCATTAGAGCCATGCCACCCAGAAAGTAGACAATAAATATTCGGTGATGGAATGAATAAGCCTAGCTCAATAACTGCTAAAACCAACAGTGACATTGTAACTGTAATAACAAAAGCAGTGAAATTAAGAGGTGGGGATGGGAGGAAATGAGAGTACTAATTTCCTAACTTTTTCTGCACAGAAGTTAAATAAATACAATCTGAAATTGAACCGAACCATGGTGTTAAAAAACAGATTTCAGCCTCTTAGAGGTTCTCATGATTTTTTCACAATCATAGGCAAGGTCAGTTACAGAATATGCAGGGCTGAGTGCGAATTGAAAATGTGAAGCTCCTTGTTGAAAATTATTATTAATTTTAAGACAGTGACAGCAGAACACTCAACCCAGCATGAGGTCCTTTGAGAGGTAGAGGTGGGCACCCCACCTCGCCCCCAATTTTAGGACATTATATCTCTGTACCAAAGAAACGTTTATCTAAAATGCAGCCTAAGGGCCGGCTGAGTGGCTCAGTTGGTTAAGAGCTCGCTCAAGAGTTTGAGCTCTGAGCAACAGCGGTTCGAGTCAGCCCGAGCTGAGCAG